GGCTGTGTAATTGCAAACGGAAATTGGTTACAATTGTAAAATAATCACAATACGATACAAATTAGACAAGGTTAAAAATAATGTCAAATTTCACAGACTGTATCAGTTCTATTTACATTAGTTTTCTTATTAAACATTTAACATTGCTATCGAGGACTAGCTTGACATTGAAAGATGTGCCTGTCTAAAAAGTTAGATGTCCGCAGATTGCTTTTGTAACTATAAAATAGCCCGTGATGGTTTTGGGGTGTTGAGAGTGTTAGGTCCTTCTTGGCATGGCTTCGAAATATATGCCATTCAAAGCTATGCATTCAAACCCTTCCGGTGACTTTCTCTATCATGTGAGGATGTTATGGAGATTAAAAGTTGGAATATAATTTATAATTTATTCAGGTGTTTATACACAGAACAAACTGTATAATAACAGTGAAAGCTTAACGATGGATGCTCTACTGTACCAATGTTTAATTATACATGTATAAACAAAACCTCGTCGAGTCCGGTATAATTAAAAAAAAGACCTTTGGACAAAACATAAAATGCTTTCAAAACAAATGTCGTTTCTATCTTTTTCTGAAGTTTATTATTTATCCGTTAAAACACTTATACAGTATTTCAAAAAATCTTTATCACAGTATGACAGAAATGATCATCTTGAAACCTTCCTAAACAGCATAAATAGTGACATATTCAATATTATATTATCAAATATATTTAAGTGTATATGTTCTCATTTTATTAAATTACAGTCAAAAGTAATTTTTCAATTTCCTTTTTGAATAAACACAATAATTATATTAAAAGTATAAAAGTAAATTTGTAATAAATAAACAAAAAAGAAAACAATGTTCATTCAAACAATCACATCAATAACTAGTATATGGGAACGATTGTACGATACATATATTTATGTCAAAAGGTCAGAAATATTTATAACATTGCTTCTTCTTTTTTCGTTTACTACACAACTACACCCTGATCTGATTTTAAGAAGACCCCATCCAATTTCCCCACTTTTTACAATCCTTGCATATGAGTAGCTATGTGTTGTTCGGCAGGAAGATTCGTATTTAGTAGTGTCTACCCCAGCACATTCGCATTTTTCAACATCACAGAAAGTCTCATAAAAATATTGATCAAGTGCAAGATTTCCTATGTCAAGCACAGGGTAAACTTCAACAGTATCATCATAAACGTCTTCTGCAGTCTTTTTGTAAACGTAGTTAGTGTGCGTTTGGCACGATGTTTGTTTTAGTCCTAACCGTTCGAGACTTATACACCCCTTTTGATCAAATTTGTTCCTGTTGTGTTTCCTGGATGTTTGGTCTTATTTTCGTTCCATTCTGCGGATACGCTTTAAAGTTCTTAAATATAGGCCGTTAAGTTTAGAACTCTAAAATTTCTTCAGCTAATACTGATTCCTGGTCATCTAATTTAAAATATTTCTCATTTCGCAATCGTAGCATACATGCCTTTGTCTTGTTCCGGTGAAAAATTGTCAGAGCATCCGCGCAGTCTGATCAGGATCCATGCTGTTCGCTTACCAACCCTATAACAAGTAAAGAAACTGATATCGAACAGCATGGATCCCGATCAGACTGCGCGGATGCGCAGGCTGGTCTGGATCCATCCTGGTCGCAAACCCATTATGTTGGTTTTGTCATGACGCGGCTCATTTGTATTCGAGAAGTATCTATATTTCAGAATATAATAAAGTTAAAGGCTAATTTGCTTTTAAAGTTCATATCTGACATAGAATCTATAATAACTGACTGTATACCTTGCTAAAGTTTCATCTTACATTATTGTATTTCCGATTGTAGAAAATTATATAAATGAACCTGGCCGACATTACGAAACATCGTTCATATCTGTGTTAATAATACATTAAGAATAACAAAGAAGCTGAAAGATTTTCTGTCATCATATAAAAATATAATTATTCATTTTTTAAAATTATCTGTTACAAGTAAGTGAATTTTCCTTATCTGAAGGGAACGTCGGCCTCAAATCGTGATGTTTTAATGAAATTATATTAAAAGATTCTTCTAACTGATGTTCCTGGGTAATGTACGTAAATTATCTATGTTAGATCAGTAGGTAATTGTTGTTCTAACATTAAAGCAGCATGCCTCCAAAATTATTATTTTTCAATGAAAATTAAGGCAGTGTTGGAAATAGTAAAAAAACAATGTCATACAAAGTCTTCAAAGTAGATTCAAAATGGAAACAACATAAGTTGATTAAATGTTATGGTATATATCAATTTTAACGTACTTTAGTTTGATGTTTTTCAATTGTCCATAGGCTTGCCGCTCTAAATAGTTCTAATATTCATTTTATATAACTGTACTTTTGTCAGAAATTTAGTCACTTATATTCAGACGGAAAATCATCTTTTTCTTGCTAGAAGGTATCTCTTTATTTCCTTAGAAAATTATGTCCATTTTTTTGATGAAAAAAATGTCTGTTGGACTATTGAGGCGACTGTTGTAAAGTTCATGTTAAGAGATAAAGACGCTCACGTTTCTTGAACAAACCATACTTAGCTAAGAGTATTACGATTGTTGTAACGAAAGGCTTGCTCCTGGCCGGATTTGAACCCTCTCGGTCAGCAATCCTAAGATTACATGTCTGGTGCGTTAACCACTCGATCATACCACATGAAAACCACATGTGTTGACAGAGGAATAAACAAACAAAATCTTGCCCGTTTAAAAATGGGCAAATACTATTTACAATGTCCAAAGATACAACTCGTCATTACCTGCAATGATCAGGCGTTTGATCATGTATTATAAACCTACACAGTTTTCTAATTTTATTACTTGTTTTAATACACTTGAGCCGTGTCACGACAAAACCAACATAATGGGTTTGCGACCAGCATGGATCCAGACCAGCCTGCGCATCCGCGCAGTCTGATCAGGATCCATGCTGTTCGCTTACAAACCCTACAACAAGTAGTGAAACTGATAGCGAACAGCATGGATCCTGATCAGACTGCGCGGATGCGCAGGCTGGTCTGGATCCATGCTGGTCGCAAACCCATTATGTTGGTTTTGTCGTGACGTGGCTCATTTCTTATTGCGACCTCTTTTCGGGCCCCAGTCATCATGATATTCTGATCGGTCCAGAATAGTGTAAAACGTGTAGAACATGAAGATTGTGAACCATACTTCAGACAGCACACCGTAGTAATGGAAATCAAAGCTTCGTGTGGCTATGGAGGTTTTCTTGGATATAGTGACAGTTCTGGATTTAAATGACAAGTTGTCTTTAAAGTTCATTTTCATCATGCAAATTTGGTTCTGTGACATCTAATATGATCACTGGCAAATTCGGAAACATTGCAAAATATCAAATGCTGTTGGTTATAGATGTCAAAGCCGCCATTTTTGTAAACATTATTTTTAAACAGAATGCTCGGTAAAAACATGTTATTTAACAGAAGATATTTAAATAAATTCCTCATGTTCCCGTTAAATGTGCTTTTGTACAAATTCTGTTAAACGTTTGTAAGAAATCAAAGTTTTGTTTTGTCTAGTGCGAATAAAACTACAGTAATTATTGCATGTCTTTTTGTCTTAATTAAATATGTCTGTGTAAAATAAAGATGGTAGACGACTTAATCTGAAGTTTTCACGACCATTAAACCGTTAACCAGTAACAAAGAACATGTAGTGGAGAAAGGGAGACAATCAGTACGAAATAATAGTTTACTATTCTCCCCATTTGTCTACGTTTATGAGATGCCGTAATGTGATACAAATTAAACAAGGTTAGTAATATTGTTGGAATATTTAAATTATATACCTCATATTATGCATTGATATCTAGAGATAGAGAAAAGAAGAACGCTAAAATGGCAAAATTGAAAAAGTTGCAGGCAAAAAATACTGCAACTATTGGTATTATTTGTAAATGTTTGCATTGAAGGTAATGACTTTTGATAGCGACCGATGTCTTATGAAAAATGAAAAAGCCCTAGACGTAATTCGGTGTGATAGGAGCCTTCGTAGCCGAGTGATTTCATTGCTGACTTTGGAACACTTTCGCGGTCCGCAACGCTGTTGGTTTAAATCCTTTCAGTGTCTGTAAAGTGTTCCTTGTCAGAAAGTTATCCAGTTAGCTTACTGCAAGTCAGTGAAATATTACACTCGTAACAAATGAGCCACACATGGATCCAGAACGGTCTGCGCGGATGCATAGGCTGGTCTGGATGTATGCTGGTCGCAAACGCATCATGTTGGTTTTGACATGGCGCGGCTCAAATGGTGTCTTCTTCAACTAGTGCAGTTCAAAAATTGCCATATTTTTACGGCATTGAAGGAACCTCACACTGAGGTTTTTGGCATAGGAGATCTGGAAATATTATTCGAGATTTGTTTACCATTTGTTGTAGGTTTGTACTTATAACTTAATTCGCTTCTCAGTTTTCCAAGAATAATCATTTTCATTGGGTAAAATGACCTAAAAAGGAAAAGAGTTTAACGCTTTAAGCTCAAATCAGACCAGACTCTTGAAAAACAAAAATTCGACTGTAACATCGAGTGCATTTCTTATTTTGTCGCCCCAGTTGATCTATGTAAGAAATTCAAATGATATTCTTTGATCGTCGTAACCCAGTGGTATTGCTCTAAATCGAAACTAAATTTGCTCGGGTGTTAGTAACTTAATTTACGAATTTCACAATGACATCTTGTATTGTAGGAAACTGTATGACACATATTAGCTCTAAGTCCTGTGCTAAAATTGAATCAATCAATATACTATAATAATTATTACAGCCGCATATGTTTAAAAGAGTGTATCTGTACTCATCAAATTCAAACAAAGTCAAAAGTAATTATTCAATTTTATTTCCAACAAATATAATACAAAAGTATAAAAATATATATTGATAAATAAATACATTAAACAAGAAACAATTTCCATTCAAACAAATAGATCAATCATTCGGCATTCACAATTTAACAACCACTGTACAAAGTTTACATTTATGTCAAAAGGTCAGCAATAGACATACCACCGCTTCTTCTTTTTTCGTTTACTACACAACTACACCCTGATCTAACTTTAATGAGACCCCATCCGATTTCTCCACTTTTTACAATCCTTGCATATGAGTAGCTATGTGTTGTTCGGCAGGAAGATTCGTATTTAGTAGTGTCTACCCCAGCACATTCGCATTTTTCAACATCACAGAAAGTCTCATAAAAGTACTGGTCAAGTGCAAGATTTCCTATTTGTATCACAGGGTAAACATCAACAGTATCACCAAAAACATCTTCTGCAGTCTTTTTGTAAACGTATTCAGTGCGCGTTGGGCATGATTTTCGTTTTAATCCCATCCGCTCGAGACCCTTATGCTTCTTTCGACCAGATTTGTTTCTGTTGTGTTTCCTACCGTTTCGAGACTTCTTGCGGTCTATGCTACGTGTTTGCCTCACATTCTGTGACTGTCGTCTGCTTGTTTTTGGCCTGACAGAGGACTCCAAAACAGCTGCAGCTAAAGTTGATTCCTGACTATCTACATATGTATCAAATATACCCTTGTTATAGCCTTGTTCCCGTGATAATTTTGTCTTAGGATGCAAAATTGACACTTCTGAAGGCGGTCTGTGCATCTGAGAATGACTATTGTCATTTGAGTGCTGATTTTTAGAGTCGGAGGATCTTGCAAATAATGTACTAATGTGTAAGCACATTATCACCAATATAATGGAAATGACTCTCTGTATTGACATGTTTATCTGAAAATGATAAAAAAAACGAATGAAAAACACTGCTAAAATCATTTCATCTGAATTAAACATCCAGTATTTTCAAGACGTTATATGACTAACAACAGAGAACAAAAAAAGTTTAAAAACATTCACATGTATATCATAAAAGGTTGGTACATGTAATATCCTACACATGAAAAATATGTCTATGTTCCTGGCGGCAATAAACTTACGGCAAAGTCCAACATTAAGTATCATATCTTGATTTTTTTAACTAGAATTATCTAAGTATGGTTTAAGTCAATATAAAATAAAACTAAATTACCTTATATAAACGATTTTCTTCCGTGCAAAAGGCAAGCTCAACGAATTGTGATGAACCGTTTGTACCACTGCTGGTCTATTTATTGAAAAATTTCGCCAGCAATGCGCATGCGTTGTCAACATGAAAAAACTGTTATCCAATAGACATTGATACGCTTTCACAGAGAGTCTTCCTTGTTGTTGATTTGATCTTTTATACACGATAATAGTATAGAGGACGTACACGTTCACAAACCTTAAAAGTACATGAGATACTGGTATGAATAATCATGTAAGAATTGTTCATTTCCTCAAGTTTTGAAGTAAGTCTTTAAATTCTCTGACAATAAAGCAAACTAGTATTTCTAAAGAGACAACATTTTAATGTGTTGCCTTATTATATAAACATTTTGTTCATATTTGGTCATTGAAAAAAAAAGTTCAATATTAACTGTAATCATATCACCTACTTCTTAGAAAAAAAAATTTCGTCTTGTAGACACATGAAATGATATTAACATTTTGATAACTCTTATCAAATAAAAACAACCGATATTGCTCCGCAGTGCAAATTGTAAAAGATTTTTTTTTTAACTTTTCTCTTTTTTTTCTTGCGAGATACATTTACAGGAAGATTGTCCGCTTAACTGGTTATCAAGGGCCACCTCGTGCGCCACTCCGTCCTGTAATTCAAGAAAGTGAGATAGCATTTCCGCGAAAATAAATAAACAGCTTGATCCATATGTGATTATGTAAAAGCATGAAAATGGTGAAAAATCGCATATTCGTGTGCGTAAAAAGTATTTGTATGTAAAATGCATTGTTCATATTCAGTGCGATGTGGATAAAAAAGAAATTTGCTTGAATCTTTTAAAGCACCTCTGATGCATCGCACAAAAAGCACCTGAAAAATGTTTGGAGACATGTGTACATTCGCACTTTCCAAGTCTTAAGATGTTTGGCATCGTCGGATACCCACAGCGGATATAAAGGATCTTTCCGCCTTTCGAAATAATACTGTTTTTAAAGCGCTCTCAGTGAAATAAAATTTCATCTGACACAACAAACAAACAAAAAACTCATGCTCCATAACAAATACCTTATCCGGAATACTTTACTTTTATCTTTTTAAAGATCGTCAGTCTACGATATAATAGGGGTACCAGTATTCCGGGTAAAGTTTGTGTACAGTGACGAAGAAAATACCCGTTTTATTGGGTTCTATTTCGTGTATATGGTATAAAATAGATTTGGACTGGATTTTCGTTGGTGAGTTTCGTCGATCATCTGGCGGCTATAAATCTGGAAAACATGGAATTGTTGAAAGGTTGTCTAACGAACGCTGGGTTGTCTACTTATTCTTCGGGCTGATGACTAATGATTAAAATAAATAACATCATCGCCATTTAAATAAACGTTGGTTGTCGAACTTATTTTTCAGCTCAAGACTTCTTGTATTTCTGAGAAAATTGAGGCTACCAGTGGGGAAAACAGATTTTTAATATTTAAGTGACTAACCGGGAATTTTCATTTAAACTTGTTTTAAGCATAAAATAAAAACAAAATTTGTTTGTTTGTTGCGTAAGATGTAATTTATTTCATCTCTGGAACTTTAAAAACAGTATTTTCACCCCGTGATAAAACAAATCTTACACAAAAACAAACAAATATCCTCTATATAAACATAGCGTAAAGACGCGCAAAAATGTTAGCATTATACACTTTAGGCGCATCAATGAAAAATGGTTCTTTTTCACTTCAAACGGTCTTTATTTTTGGTAAATGATAAATAGAATGCTAAATTCGTGTAAGTTCATTACTGAATTTATTGTTTAATAAAATAATATCATGCTCGCCAAATTCAGTATTAAACTATTCAATATCCTCTTTTAATGTGTATTATAATACTGCACGTTTGTAACGTTGCTTTTCATTGGATAATCTTGACGTTTATATAGTTTATTCTAACACTCCTCGTGATTTTGTCACTATAGACAAACAAGAAGAAAAACGATGTTAAACTGCCAATAACTACTTGTATATGCGACTGTTATGTTTTCTCCCTCGATTATATAGTTTACAAAGCCTTTTAAAGCAACAATAAAAAAGCATTTTTAATTATATTTTCAGTTCTTATAAATTGAATGTTTTCTTTTCAAACAATACCGAAGTAATATCTCACATAAACTAACACCACATATTTGATCCATATCAGTTTTTGACAAAACGGCGCCAATCCGTAAGCAGCGTAATGACGTCATCTTAAGTATACAAACCATAAACGCTGACGTCAATTCAAACATACAAGAATGATAAATTGGGCAATGATGTTAACATAATACAATCCATTCTAAGACTTAAGTTTTTATTCTTGAAAACTTGATAAAATAACTTTTTTTCTTATTATTTTTTGTGTTTAATAATTTCTATATCTTAACAACAGTAGGAGCGTTATACGAAAATCGGCACCAGAAATTATTTCCGCTTGAAAAAAAAAAACATTAGTAATCTTCCTTATTTTATCTTGTTATAATCGAAATAATATCGGTCTGAGCGGTGTTTATCGGCTATTTAACACCGGTTTTGTCGTTTTGATGCGAAAAAAATAACCACTCAGGCCTACGGCTTTCGTGGTCAATTCCTACGCATCAAAACTCCAAACCGCTTAATATGTTATTTTTGAAGCGGTGCCGATTTTCGTATAACGCTGTTCGATTTTCGCACCCTACAGTACTGTTGCGAAGATATAGAGAATATTTGTTTAGTTCAGTGTAAGATCGGAATATATTTCACCGAGTGAGCACCAAAAGGTATATTTCACGAGTGGCGCAGCCACGAGTGAAATATGAACTTTTGGTGTTCACAAGGTGAAATATATTTCGAACTTACACTAAACTAAACAAATTTTCTTTTTATTATATGTAAAGAAACGTTTTAAAAAGACATTAAACCTCATACTGAATGAAAAGCGCGCCAAATAATAATACAACGTGACGTCATTTACGACGTCACGTCATTAAGTTGGTACCCAGTTCTGTGCACGCTGGTATTTCACTGAAACAACGTAAGGGGCTTAAATTTAAAACAGTGAAATTATCAAAGTGGTAATTTCACTGTTTCAAACAGTGAAATTACCAGTTTTATATCACTGATATATTTCTATAAACCACCGAAAAGCATGTAATAAATAGAGGATATTTGTTTAGTTCAGTGTAAGATTGGAATATATTTCACCGAGTGAGCACCAAAAGGTATATTTCACGAGTGGCGCAGCCACGAGTGAAATATGAACTTTTGGTGTTCACAAGGCGAAATATATTTCGATCTTACACTAAACTAAACAAATTTTCTTTTTATTATATGCAAGGAAACGTTTTAAAAAGACATTAAACCTAATACTGAATGAAAAGCGCGCCAAATAATAATACAACGTGACGTCATTTACGACGTCACGTCATGAAGTTGGTACCCGGTACTGTGCACGCTGGTATTTCACTGAAACAACGTAAGGGGCTAAAATTCAAAACAGTGAAATTATCAAAGTGGTAATTTCACTGTTTCAAACAGTGAAATTACCAGTTTTATTTCACTGATATATTTCTATAAACCACCGAAAAGCATGTAATAAATAGAAATTGTATCATAGTTCGGAGACCTTTCTGTTGAAAATGTGTCAGGGTTAAATCGTATACATATACATGCACAGTGCGTTAACTGGAGTGCGGGTATTAGTTACCCATTGATTGGCTCATTTTTGCTGGGGTTTACATATTGTGACGGCAGAGAAAGGGAAAGAGACAGAAATGTCATATTCAGATGTTCGTTCATTGGTTCATTTTTGCCGGGGTTTCATTTTGTGACAACAGGGAACGTGCTTTTATGTTTGACTATGATACAAAAGAGAAAGAACACCAAAACACTCGGCAATCTGATTTATACTCGGGGGCTACGCCCCCTCGTACAAATCAGATAGCCTCGTGTTTCGGTGCTCTTTCTATTACTTATCAAACAAAAGAAATAAGAAAAAAAAAACGTTATTTTATAAAGCTTTCAACAATAAAAACTTACGTCGTATTGTGTTTACATCAGAGCCCCATTTATCATTCTTGCACGTATGAAATAATGTCAGCTTGTTTATGAATGAGTTGTTTACTTATGCCTACGTCACATTACAAGCGGGAACCGGCCGATATAGAGAGATCGATAGGACACCGTTGATAATTTGAGATCGGAGAGAAACATTTCAATCATGTCCCGGGAAGAAGTGGGCGTCTTTTTCCCCTCCGTGGTCAGTTAGGTATTCGGACGGTTTCCGAAGGTACTCGCCCGGCCACCCGGCTGAAAACCCCTTGTTTTTCTTCTTATCTGGACACCGGTCGATATTCTAAAGGTACCCGGCAGACTACCGTACGATAAATGTCCAGTTACCTTCCGTTATCTGGCCTGTTTGCAACAATCGTACGGTGACGGTAAAGTATTCTGGCGATATCTGGTCGGCTGTCGGACGGTATTCGTATGGCATGCTATCCCATTTTCCGGCCGTTATTCACACCCCCTCTTTTGTTGGTATTTTTCCTTGCCTTCTTCTCCTCTGATTTCTCCCCCACCACTTCTTTGAAGATATATTACACTCTGAAATCAAAGTTTTCAATAAAAGATTGTAAATGAAACTTGAAAACTTTTAGAAACCTCCATGGACGTGTGTGAAAACTGAGAGAATATGTGTGTGTAATTGAGTTTCTAAATACTCGACATCGGTTGCCCATATAGGCGAGACCTCCAGAAGAGAATTAATCGTTCTAGATGTTGGAGGACAGCGCAGGATACAGATAGCAAGATGCCCCAATTTCAGAAAAATATGAAAAACAAGGTCAATAAGAGCAACACAGGATGACCAACGTCAAAAAGCCAAGCAGGACCACAAACAATCTTCTTCTTTTTTACCTAGCCAAGTATTTAAAGCACCCAACGGGGGACCCTCGTTTTAAAGTCCGTCTAAAGTTCCCAAAGTAATTTCATTTGGTCACCCGGGAATCAAACCCCAAATTTTCCCAGATTACAAGTCAAAGCGTTTTAAAACCCCAAATTAATTTTCCCGCCACTGGCTTTTGAGAGAAGAGGGTTGTTTTTTTTTGGATTTACCCTGAGGATTTTGGCAGAAACCCAAATTTTGGAATTAAATACCAGAGCCCCATTTCAGCACCGCATCGTTCCCTTTGACGGGTCTGTCAAGAATTAACATAAAATTTCTTTCACTTTCGAAAGGGGTACTGTTTAAACCGTACAACGTGGGACCTTCCCGTCGCCCGGGAAAAATTTGAACACGGTCAAAGGCTTTCCCTTGCCTAAGATCTTTTTAATACCCAACGCTATCCTTACGGACATTTTAGGACCATACGTACGACGTACTGCGTCCATCCGGGTCCCGCTCAGATACCGCTCGGAAACTGGGGGAATATTTGGCGCACAGGAGGTAAAAATTCTAACCGGTATGTAACCGATAACAAAAGGTGTCCGGCCGGGTATCGGAGGGTATTTTACCGTGTCTGCTTCGTTGCGCTGGCGATATACCGGATGCCGGAAGAAAATAACTGCACTAAAATTCTCCGATTACCCGTACAGTGCCCCACCGGTCACTTGACACCGGAGGGTCACCGGCCGGAGACCTTTAAAAAATTGGCAATTTCAGCCCGTTCAGGCATCGGTACTCCATCGTACTCCATCGTAAACCTAATCGGAGTGTAATGTGACGCAGGCTTTAGGATGACGTCATTTCGCTGCTTACGGATTGGCGCCGTTTTGTCAAAATATTTATTAACTGATATGGATCTAATATGTGGCGTTAGTGTATGTGAGATATTATTTCGGTATTGTATGAAAAGAAAACATTATACGAACTGAAAATATAAATAAAAATGCTTTTTACTGTTGCTTTAAAATGTTTGTAAACTATACAATCGAGGGTGAAAACATAACAGCGCATATACAAGTAGTCCCTAACCGGTGTTTATTGGCAGTTTAACACCAGTTTTTTTTTCCTTCTTTGTCTATAGTGACAAAATCACGTGAGTGTTAGAATAAGTGATATATACTGTTTAAACAATGAACAACATTAACCGTTAGATCTATTGAATTGATTTTTCATAGCAAAATCATATCATATCATATAGATCTAAATAAATAAATAGAGAACAAACCTAATTTTGAGACTGTTGATATTTTTTTAATCATTAAGCTAGAATAAAATTCTTAAAACTTTTACATTATTTTATTTTTTTACTTTATTTAACCATTAAACTTTAAAAATGTCGGTTTTGTTTCTTTTCTAGTTGCCGACTGTGTCCTCTTTTCTTTACATATCAACACCTATTGACGGTGCAAGCGGTTGCTCTGATGGGGCTGGGATGACGTCATAATTTGGCGTCATATTCCAAATTTCACGTGCATACTCTTCTATGGTCCTGTCCGCTGAAAATTTTCCCGATGAAGCTATGTTTAGAAGGCACATTCTAGCCCATCTGTACGGATCATTATAAAATGCATTTACTTTATCCTGACTCTCAACGTACGCTTTGAAATCCGCCATCAGCAAATAACTACAAAGATATGAAGCAAAGAAATAAAAAAGTACATATTGAAGAGTCCTAGAGAATGAAATCACACACGACACTTTATAGTTGCATGATTCAAATCTTATCAATTATATAATTATACTTAATTCTAACACGACTCGCATTTTTCTCTATTGAACATAGAATATCCGAAAGTGTGAGTGTGTTATTATGCTATATAAAGTCACTGTTTGTCGTTCTATATTCAGACATGTGACAAAATCATTATACATGTGACGTAACCTATATAAAATCCGACGCGCTGACAATAAGTACGGAAACAAATCAGGCGCAATTTTGCTTAATATCAGGTACGGCAGCATTTATTTGTTAATGTCGTGTTAGAATCGAAATAATATATCCAAATAGGTGATTTTATCGCTGGATAACATCACTGTTTGTCATTTGGATGCGAATCATTATATTTCTCGCATCCGAACTCCAAACAGTGATGTTATATTGAGCGATAAAATCACTGTTTGGAATATATTATTTCTTAATTATCACATGCTTCTCGGTGGTTTATGGGCATTTATTACATGCTTTTCAGTGGTTTATTGAAATATATCAGTGAAATAAAACTGGTAATTTCACTGTTTGAAACAGTGAAATTACCACTTTGATAATTTCACTGTTTTTAATTTAAGCCCCTTACGTTCTTTCAGTGAAATACCAGCGTGCACAGTACTGGGTACCAACTAAATGACGTGACGTCGTAAATGACGTCACGTTGTATTATTATTTGGCGCGCTTTTCACTCTCTATTAGGTTGAATGTCTTTTTAAAACGTTTCTTTGCATGTAATAAAAAGAAAATTTGTTTAGTTTAGTGTAAGATTGAAATATATTTCACCTTGTGAACACCAAAAGTTCATACTTCACTCGTGGCTGCACCTCTCGTTAAATATACCTTTTGGTGCTCACTCGGTGAAATATATTCCGATCTTACACTGAACTAAACAAATATCCTCTATATATCAGTGAAATAATTCGTGAACCAGCTATTCTATTTTCACTCGTGGTTGCGCCACACGTTAAAATATTGCAAGTGAAATATATTTCAATCTTACATGCAAAACACACAGATAACATCTTTTTATTATTTCGATATAGATCTATTAGAACATAGCGTCTAGTAAGTTAAATTTCAATTTTAAGGTACTAACTGATCATGGTGTATGAGGTTATTTGCGATATCCTGAAACATCCCGGGACTTTCTGGACAGAATGTTCCGTCTTTCAGTTGCTCGAGAGCTAAGGAAAGTTCCTCATTACATGTGATAAAATCAGACGGATTGTAGCCTTGCTTTCGTAATGCCTCTACCTCGTGCAGCTTGAGTCCGAAGATAAACATGTTGTCCTCGCCCATCTCCTCTGCCATTTCGACGTTAGCGCCATCTAGTGTCCCAATCGTCAACGCTCCATTTAGCATAAATTTCATGTTCCCAGTACCTATGCAAAAGCAAATTTATAGATTTAGAACTTGTAAAGTACACTTAGGGTATATATACACAAATTTGACTTACGTAAAAAGATTGGCAATAGGTGATTTTTTTCTAGAAACATTTATTTCTCACATACAGGAATAGAAGGAGGTATAACAACGGCTTGACATATCAGGGTGCTATGAGACACACTTGAAGAATTCAGATTTATGTTTTTGATTGGAAATTCCTTGGAAATTGATGGAAATTTATCATTTCATTACAATATTGTTTTTGTTTTTGCTTTGTTGTTGTTGTTGTGCACTCCATATCTGATAACTTTAGCTTAATCAGTCACCCCCGCTTTATCAGACATCTCATTAATACATATTGAAATGAAATGAAGAGAACAATATAATTTACCTCCTGTTGGTTTGAAAATATTCAACCCTTAATTTTTTTTAATTTTTAAATGGAAATAAGTTAAGCACACCCCGGATATTTGAAATTGATTGTGATCATGAGATGACGACTTAATTGAGCTTGATAAGTAGCGATACCAAATTAGTATTCATAAACCAGTAACTTTATGAGTTTAGTTTACTCTTAACCAAATCAAAATGTGTTGTATTGTTTTTTCTTTAACAAAAATGTAAGTGTTCTATTTTAAAAAGGGAATGAACACTCATTCCCAATTCAAGTACCAATTTTGGCCAAATTACACTACAAAAAGATGCCATTTTTACCATTTTTTAAAAAGTAAACAACAAAGACAAACAAAGAATCAATATGAATGTATTTGAATCTTTTATTTCACATTGATTGTTTTCATATAACTCTGTGTTTAGCCACCGTAACATAAAAACAAACAAGGTATTAGCGTGAACAAAGTAATATTAGTATGAAGAAATATTAAGCTGGCTAAACAAATAAATACAAAGGCTGTATACCAACAAATTTGTGAAAGCAGTAAAAAACCAATAACTCAATTTAAATTGAAAGACAAAAAATGTTATGCCGGTTTAACAATGTTTTATACAATAGACAAACTTAATTGAATCAAATTTCAACACATTCCCATGTGTCTTTTCAAAATTGAAATTCATTTCATTAGATTAAATGTATCTATTTAGATCAATTGTTATGCCGGCTTAACAAAATTACAATTCATTTTCATTACATGAAGAGAAATGTTACGCCGGCTTAACAATTTCTCATATCCAAGTATTTGACAAAGAAGATCAAGAAAATTGTTATGCCGGCTTAACAAAATTAAAATTCATTTTCATTACATGAAGAAAAAATGTTATGCCGGCTAAACAAATTCTCATATCCAAGTTTTTGACAAAGAAAATTTCAAACTATCAAATAATTTGTTAGACCAGCTTAACAAAATTAAAATTCCTTTTCATTTACTGGTGGATATTTTTGGTAAATGCTGACGATTACCTAATCTTAAATGGCAGTATGCAGTGAGCCAAATTTTTTATAATGTGTGTAACGGCACATGCCTGGATGATATCCTCAACCCTTGTCCTCATACTACCAGTAAGGCATCTAATGCGATTTTAAGGTAAACTTTAACAAATTTGGGGCAGAGCTTGTTCCTGTTGTTGCAAGTTGACTACCGATGGTTCGTACAATTGCCCAAATAAAATTTGAGTTTTGGTCATGTCAAAATTTAGCCAAAATGACGGGTGTACTTAAGTTGTTTCCTGGTGTATATTAAAGTCTTTTTACGATTGACTTTAAACATTCGGGACTATTTCATGTCAATATGATTGTAACCTGTAAAATCGCATCGCGGCATACACTCGAGAGGTTCTTGACAGGTTTTAATTTAAAAAAGAAAAGAAAAGGAAATTAAAGTTGAAAATACAGTAAATAGAATGCCAGACAAGTGTCTGATATTATAATTTTTTTATCTAGAAAAAAAATGGAGGCCTCGCCTTTCATTATTCTAAGCATCAAGATAGGTTTTATAGCATTAGACACAAGCTTAGTATTCTCTATGTATTGAGAAGATTAATGCTCAAAGAAACGCCGGAGAGCCTTATCTTAATAGAAAAAAAGAGCCGCGTCACGACAAAACCAACATAATGGGTTTGCGACCAGCATGGATCCAGACCATCCTGCGTATCCGCGCAGTCTGATCAGGATCCATGCTGTTCGCTAAATGTTTCTCTACTTGTAATAGGGTTTGTAAGCGAACAGCATGGATCTTGATCAGACTGCGCGGATGCGCAGGCTGGTCTGGATCCATGCTGGTCGCAAACCCATTATGCTAGTTTTGTCATGACGCGGCACAAATATCACTCCTACCAGAGGCCTCTGTTCCGGCCGTTGAAATTTGTTCACTGAGATCGGCTGCTGGGATAACAATCTCTGCCAATGTCACTCTGTAGTTCTCCAAGAAAACGAGTTTAAGCCTGCCCCCTACATCAATATCATTGTTAATCTTTTTAGCAAGGTTGTTAAACAACTTGATAATTTTCTTAGCCATATGATAGCCCGGTGCAGCTTTTCCTCCGAGCATTACAGTTCGGGGTGTAAACGGAGCCCCTGGATTACGCTTGATTCTGTTGAGCATCACGATCACGTGTAGACAGTTTAAAAGTTGTCGTTTGTATTCATGGATTCTTTTGACCTGACAAATAAAGATGAATTAAAAATTACTTTTATCACTCACATACCCGTGCCGCTTTTGCCATTCCGTAAAAAACGGCCGTGCACTTATTTTGACGTAATGTCATTTGCGTTATACAAACATAGCGTAGAGATGCCCTTAATGTGTATGTGAGAAGTTAGCAGTGAACAGTGAGCTAAGCAAATAGGCATTTCAATTTATATAGGGAAGGTAATGATCTGTTGTAATGCTCAGCTGTTTTGGGCATCTAGCAGGGCATTCCTAAATATAGCTGCAATACTCAGCTGTCTTGGCAATCTAGCAGAGCATTCCTACCTTTAGTGAAAATGCTCTGCTGGAACGCTCAGCTGGCTAGGCAATCTAGCAGTGCATTACTAAATATAGTGTTAAAATGCTCTGCTGGCTAGCTCAGCTGGCTAGCTCAGCTGGCTAGGCAATCTAGCAGGGCATTACTAAATATAGTGAGAAAATGCTCTGCTCGAAATGCTAAGCTGGCTAGGCAATCTAGCAGGGCATTACTAAATATAGTGTAAAAATGCTCTGCTGGAATGCTAAGCTGGCTAGGCAATCTAGCAGGACATTACTAAATATAGTGTAAAAATGCTCTGCTGGAATGCTAAGCTGGCTAGGCAATCTAGCAGGGCATTCCTAAATATAGTGAAAAAATGCTCTGCTGGAATGCTAAGCTGGCTAGGCAATCTAGCAGAGCATTACTAAATATAGTGTAAAAATGCTCTGCTGGAATGCTAAGCTGGCTAGGAAATCTAGCAGAGGACATTACTAAATACCATGTAAAAATGCTCATTACTAAATATAGTGTAAAAATGCTCTGCTGGAATGCTAAGCTGGCTAGGCAATCTAGCAGGGCATTCCTAAATATAGTGAAAAAATGCTCTGCTCGAATGCTAAGCTGGCTAGGCAATCTAGCAGAGCATTACTAAATATAGTGTAAAAATGCTCTGCTGGAATGCTAAGCTGGCTAGGAAATCTAGCAGAGGACATTACTAAATACCATGTAAAAATGCTCTGCTGGAATGCTAAGCTGGCTAGGCAATCTAGCAGGGCATTACTAAATATAGTGTAAAAATGCTCTGCTCGAATGCTAAACTGGCTAGGCAATCTAGCAGGGCATTTCTAAATATAGTGTAAAAATGTTCTGGTGGAATGCTAAGCTGCTAGGCAATCTAGGCAGAGCATTACGAAATATAGTGTAAAAATGCTCTGCTGGAATGCAAAGCTGGCTAGGCAATCTAGCAGGGCATTACTAAATAAAGTGTTAAAATGCTCTGCAGGAATGCTCAGCTGGCTAGGCACTATAGCAGAGCATTCCTTAATATAGTGAAAAAATGCTCTGCTGGAATGCTCAGCTGGCTAGGCAATATAGCAGAGCATTACTAGATATAGTGTAAAAATGCTCCGCTGGAATGCTCAACTGGCTAGGCACTATAGCAGAGCATTCCTTAATATAGTGAAAAAAATGCTCTGGTGGAATGCTCAGCTGGGGCTGAGGCAATCTAGCAGGGCATTACTAAATATGGTGTAAAAATGCTCTGGTGGAATGCTAAGCTAGCAGGGCATTCCGAAATATAGTTAAAAATGCTCTGGTGGAAATGCTCAGTTGGGAGACTGATCTGAGTTCCAGGATTTATTGTTGCCAAAGTTTTATTGACATTTTCGACTTCTGGGCAATTCTGAGGCGCACTCGCAGACTTTCAGGAATTTTCGTGCCAATAGAAATAATGATATTTTTGACTTCTAAGGACCTTAAAGAGACTATTTCATTGTCCTGCGACTTTTGAAGGACACTCGCAGACTTTCAGGAATTTTGGTGCCAATGCTGATATTGACAATTAAGACTTCTAGGGGCCCTCAAGAGTCCATTTTGGTCGTCTGCGACTGATTCTTTGACACTCACGGACTTTCAGGAATGGTTGGTGCCAATGGAAATAATCATATTTTTGACTTCTAGGGACCTTTAAGAGTCCATTTCATTGGCCTGCAGCGTATTGTTGGACACTTGCAGACTTTCAGGAAAGTTTGGTGCCAATAGAGATGATGGCAATGTTTACTTCTAGTGACCCGCCAGAGTCCATTTTTATGGTGTGCGACTGATTCTGGGACATTCGCAGACTTTCAGGAATCTCTGGTGCCAATGGAGATAATGACATTTTTGACTTCTAGCGACCCACCAGAGTTCATTTCGCTGGTCTGCGACTGATTTTGGGACACTTGCAGACTTTCAGGAATTTTGATGCCAATGGAGATAATGACATTTCTGACTTTTAAGGGAACCGCCAGAGTTACATTTCTTGGGTCTGCGACTGATTCCTTTGAGACTCGCAGACTTTCAGGATGTTTAGTGCCATTTCAGATCATGACTTTTTTACTTTTAATGACCCCTTAGTCATAAGCAGAGCATTTTTACCCTAAAATGTCATTATCTGCATTAGCACCAAAAAATTCCTGAAAGTCTGCAAGTGCCCAATAATCAGTCGCAGACCAACGAAATAGACTCTGGATGGTCAAAAATGTCATAAATTGTAATTATCTCTATTGGCACCAACAATTCCTGAAAGTCTGTGACTGTCCAAGATTAAGTCGCAGACCAAAAAAAATGGATCCTGGATGGTCCCTAGAAGTAAAAAATGTCATTATCTGCCTTGACATAAAAAATTCCTGAAAGTCTGTGAGTGCCTCAGAATCAGTCGTAGACCAAAAAAATGGATTCAGAAAGGTCCAATAAGTCAGAAATATCATTTTCTGCATTGACACCAAAATTCCTGAAAGTCTGCGAGTGACTCAGAATCAGTCGCAGACCAACGAAATAGACTCAGGAGGGTCCTTTTGAAGTAAAAAATGTCATTATCTCCATTGGCACCGAAAATTTCTGAAAGTCTGCGATTCTTCCAGAAACATTCGCAGACCAACGAAATGGACTCTGGATGGTCCTAAAAATTCACAAATGTCATTATCTGCATTAACACCAAAAATTCCTGAAAGTCTGCGATCGTCCACAGAATCAGTCGGAGACCAAAGAAATAGACACTTGAGGGTCCCGTAGAAGTCAAAAAATGTCATTATCTGCATTGGCACTAAAATTTCAGAAAGTCTACGAGTGCCAAATAATCGGTTGCAGACCAACGAAATTTATACTTTATTTAAGAATGCCCTGCTAGTTTGCCTAGACAGCTCAGCATTCCGGCAGAACATTTTTACACTAATTTTCAGAATGCTTTGCTGGATTGCCTAGCCAGCTGAGCATTTTTAACACTATATTTAGGAATGCCCTGCTAGATTGCTTAGCTAGCTGAGCATACCAGCAGAGCATTTTTCGCACTATATTTTGGAACGCTCTGCTAGATTGCTTAGCCAGCTGAGCTTGCCAGCAGAACATTTTTACACTATATTTAGGAATGCTCTGCTGGATTGCCTAGCCAGCTGAGCATTTTTAACACTATATTTAGGAATGCCCTTCTGGATTGCCTAGCCAGCTGAGCAATTCAGCAGAGCATTTTTACACTATATTTTGGAATGTCCCGCTAGATTGCTTACCAAGCTGAGCATAACAGCTAAGCATTTTTACACTATATTTAGGAATGCCCTGCTAGATTGCCTAGCCAGCTGAGCATACCAGCAGATCATGTTTACACTATATTTTGGAATGCCCCGCTAGATTGCTTACCAAGCTGAGCATAACAGCAGAGCATTTTTACACTTTATTTTGGAATGTCCGCGATAGATTGCTTAGCCTGCTGAGCATAACAGCAGAGCATTTTTACACTATATTTTGGAATGCCCGCTAGATTGTTTAGCCAGCTGAGCATAACAGCAGAGCATTTTTACACTATATTTTGGAATGTCCCGCTAGATTGCTTAGCCAGCTGAGCATAACAGCAGAGCATTTTTACACTATATTTTGGAATGCCCGCTAGATTGCTTAGCCAGCTGAGCATAACAGCAGAGCTTTTTGCACTTTATTTTGGAATGCCCCGCTAGATTGCTTAGCCAGCTGAGTATAACAGCAGAGTATTTTTTACACTATATTTAGAATTGCCCTGCTAGATTGCCTAGCAAGCTGAGCATACCAGCAGAGCATTTTTACGCTATATTTTGGAACGCCCCGCTAGATTGCCTAGCCAGCTGAGCATACCAGCAGAGCATTTTTACACTATATTTTAGTAATGGCCTGCTAGATTGCTTACCCAGCTGAGCATACCAGCAAAGCATTTCTACACTTTATTTTGGAATGCTCTGCTAGATTGCTTACCCAGCTGAGCATACCAGCAAAGCATTTCTACACTTTATTTTGGAATGCTCTGCTAGATTGCTTACCCAGCTGAGCATAACAGCAGATCATTGATTTCCCTATATAAATCGTAATGCCTTTTTGCTTAGCTCACTGTTAACTGCTAACTTCTCACATACCCTTTAATGTTACAATACATGCCACATCAATATTAAATATTTTTTCACTGCAAACAGTTCTTATTTTGGTGTGTGATGAATGTATAGAGGATAGTTTGCGCCACTCGTGAAATATACATTTTTGTGCTCACTCGGTGAAAGATATTTCGATCTTACAGCAATAAGCCTAACACATTTTTTTTGTTATGCAAAGAACGTTTTTAAAAGAAATTATAACTATTATTTAATGATTTTAAATATATTGCATCCTCATTGGGCCAAACATGTAGTCAACAGAACTTTTTTATAAAAAATATATTCACATGGGTGTAAGTAATCATATTTCTGGCTGAATTTTGGATTTTTCCCCAGTCTAAAATAGGATTTGAGACTCATATTATTTCGGATGATCATGACACCGTAAGACTTTTAATTAGCGAGGCGTGTTAATTTAAAATAATTTTGTTGCTTTTTGTTCTTTATGGACTTTCTCGAATAAAATATCATTACTTTAACTATTATTCTTAAAGTTACACTAGCCAATGAGGATAAATCGAATATATTTTGTATGCGCAGGGTTCGGCGTAGTCGTTGCGACGTCTAAAACGTGCGCTTTTTTTTTCCACACGCTTCAACGAGGCAAAATTTGGGTACATGTATATATAAGGTTGTGCTCTATTGTGCATTTTTTTTTTATTTCTTAGCCTATTCATATAATATTCATATATAAATGAGGCTTTCCCTTTGGTCAATTGTCATCTGCCGGTGAATATCACATCATATTCAATGGCTCACTAGTCAATAATTGTATAATACATGTACTAAATGTAAATCGTGCCAAATAATAATTCATCGTGATTGTTACAAACAATAAATAATAGTTGACAGATGTGTAAACATTAAAAAAGCGGCTAAGAAGTAGGAAAACATAGAATTGTTAAAAGGCTGTCTTACGAACGCTAGGTTGTTTACTTATTCTTTAGGCTGATGTCTGTCATTGCTTTTCAAGTTTTCATATTGCATGAGGCAGTTATTGCTCGTAGGATACTTAAATATGCCCAAATGTCATCAAGAGCAGTCTTGCATGTGGAAGGAAAAAATTCTGCATGTGGAAGGAAATGTATTTTTCAGACTGTAAAAATCAAACAAAAAATTTAGAGACGATATTTGGTGGTTGGTAATTTAAATGCATTGAAGTAAGTTTTTTTCTTTTTATTACATTTGAAATTTAAGATATTTATCAATTGCAGTTTTCCTTTTCTCTAAACAGCCCTGACAATATCAGAATTGTTAGCAAAAATAAAATTTAGGTACCACATGTGGAAAATCTTTAAAAAGTAGCCTCGTCATTAAAAAGTGTGAAATTATATAGAGGATATTTGTTAAGTTCAGTGTAAGATCGGAATATATTTCACCGAGTGAGCACCAAAAGGTATATTTCACGAGTGGCGCAGCCACGAGTGAAATATGAACTTTTGGTGTTCACAAGGTGAAATATATTTCGATCTTACACTAAACTAAACAAATTTTCTTTTTATTACATGCAAAGAAACTTTTTAAAAACACATTTAACCTAATACTGAATGAAAAGCGCGCCAAATAATAATACAACGTGACGTCATTTACGACGTCACGTCATTAAGTTGGTACCCAGTACTGTGCACGCTGGTATTTCACTGAAACAACGTAAGGGGCTTAAATTCAAAACAGTGAAATTATCAAAGTGGTAATTTCACTGTTTCAAACAGTGAAATTACCAGTTTTATATCACTGATATATTTCTATAAACCACCGAAAAGCATGTAATAAATTTTGATAATTTTTACTGTGAAATTATCAAAATATAATTTTTACGGATAAATCTGTAATCCACTCAAAAACATAAAATAAGGTGTAATTACATCACTTGTTCGATATTGTCCAATGTCGATATATATCTTATTAAACGATTTACAATATGCTGATCCGGACATAACTAGTTATAATGTATATTATTCAGACATATAAACATTGTTTTAAAAATGAAATGTAAGCATTTCTTACTTTGACCTCTACAATTGTTGACGAGATATAAGGGCAAAAGTCCTTCATTTATGCACGTACACGAGTTCAATGCACTTTCTGTTTTGTATCAAGCACTAACAGCACAATCATGTTTTCTTTCTCAGTGTGAGAATAGTGGCACATCGGTCATTTTAATATCTCACAAATATATGCTAGTAGTAAGAGTACGATTTTGTTCTTTATTTAAAATATCAAAAATGTGGGTTACTCAAAAAGCCGTATTTTCAAGACGGTAGAACTACATTAAATTAATTGATCTACGATTATGGTCACTTTGCTTACCTATTTAAGCGTAGGGCACTATATTAGAAATGAGTGGTTAGTTTACATTAATTAAGTGTCTCTTAAATTTGATAATAAACGTGTCTAAATATAATATTGCTACATGTAGTATATTGCTCTGTGAGCCTCTATTATATCAAATGTTTACCAAGCTGATCTCCAATAATGTTATAAATATATACATGCACTAGGATTAACAGTTTAGGATACACCTACCAATCAATGAAATATATAGAGGATATTTGTTTGTTTTGCATGTAAGATTGAAATATAATTTCACTGAGTGAACACCAGATGCAATATTTTCATGAGTGGCGTAGCCACGAGTGAAAATATAATAGCTGGTGTTCACGAATGAAATATATTTCAATCTTATATGTAAAACAAATAAATTTTCTTTTTATTTCATGCTTTTTAAGTGATTTTAAGTATTTTTTTACTGATTTTGCCGCGTAACGTCGCGCATTCTCCTTTGTGACGTCATCACATCATGACATCACATCATTAATTTTGAAATATAGTTCTGTTAAATTTTGTCTAATTTTGTTACATTTTTAATATGATGTATGGTGACATCGACTTTCTTTTCCTAAAGAAGCAAAATTTACGCATGACAGCATTTATTTCTGCCTGTTATTCCATTTCGTTATCATTTTCTATTCATCCGCATCCAGATATAATCCGGCTACTGTGAAAATTATATTTTATAAATTTCACTAGTGGTTTATCAGAATATAATCATCTGATATATTACAATAAAACACTGGAAAGCATGAAATATTGACAAATATTGATGGAAAGAAGCAAATTTTCATTTTCCGTATTTTCACATTAACAATGATTTTTTTCACAGCAGTAAATCATTTTTTTTTCATATTTTCACAGGTGTCATGCCCACAAAATTAAAGGGGAAGATCTTCGAAAACAGAGAAAAGGTATATAATAAACAAAAAAATCAATATGCACCGCTCTTGGCCAATTTAATTTTGTAAATGCTTACTAATTAATCTAACCCATGCTTAAAAAAGAAATACGTTAGTAGTTTTTGTTACCTTCACTAACATATATTTTTGCGTCACATATATTGGCATTGGCCACAAAGGTTGAGACATACAGAAAAGAACATTTATTTACAAACGATTATTCTAGTGGAAAAGGTTAAATTTTATTTTCTCTGTCAAAAGAATTGGTAAAACAAGCAGCCGTCTAATTGAACATTTAATAAATACCTTTACCTCTATAATATAAATGACGTTTTCTTGTCGTCAAAATTGGAGTAGCCATGACGTATTTAACATAATTATCATTCCATTCTAAATAAATGTTTTTTTCTGACGTCAACAACTGACCGTTTCGTGTTATTCCAATTTTCGGATAATAAACGAGTTCACTGATTTATCAAGTTTCATGTGTTCACACTTACCACACTAAATTTCTTAACTTTCAAACTGGACAAAATCATTCATCTCTTATAGAGAAAATTGCTAAAGCTATATGTTGTGTATATTTTAAACGTCTGCTTATAAAATTCTGGATTCTAGATTAGCCAAAATATTTTAAGAAAATTAGACTTGAGAAAGATGTACACAGATATTATGAAAAAGAGACAGATTTAAGATTCTCGTAATGATTTACATTTAATGTGCAATAAAGGACTGATTTTTGCAGTATTTATCACCATATTTCTACTGCGTTACTAAGGCAGTAAGTGCTATTATTGCTTATTTGGATCTCTTTTTTTTGATAATTTGAAAGCGCTGTTTGCAATGTGCAAATTATTTTCTTTGTTCACTTCACAATACTTAACACTTAAATTTTCACAAAAATTAATCGGCATGCTGCATTTAGACTAAAATAAAAACACGATTGTTTCTTAAAATCAAAGTTTACTTAAATAAAAGTCAAAACAATATGACAAAATTCTTGCATATATATAAACATTTGATAGCTTGTGTATGTTTTGAGTTTGTGGGTCTAAGTCATTACGTATACGTACGTATAATGAAAACAAAAGCATTTATTTTGCCGCTAAACAGAAAAACAGAAAAACAGAGACTTAACTTAATTTAGCATTGGGTTGGGGCGGGGGTCAGTAAATATACAGTAACTGCGCGGATTCCCTAAGAACTTTGTAATTGTTCATGAAGATTGGCCGTATTCCATTATTCTGAGAATAAGGAGTGGAGATTAATTGCTAACATATTTTCTATAATGAGGAGTAATTAATGCAAACAGTCATTTTCTTCAACGTTTATCGTATCTTTAAATGAGCCGCGTCACGACAAAACCAACATAGTCGGTTTGCGACCAGCATGGATCCAGACCAGCCTGCGCATCCGCGCAGTCTGGTCAGGATCCATGCTGTTCACTGTCAGTTTCTCCACTTGTAATAGAGTTGGTAAGCGAACAGCATGGATCCTGATCAGACTGCGCGGATGCGCAGGCTGGTCTGGATCCATGCTGGTCGCAAACCCACTGTGTTGGTTTTGTCGTGACGCGGCTCAAATAATGTTAAAAAACAGGTTTGTTGCTTGTACTTTCAGAAATAACTTAAATTGTGTGTGGTCCTCGCGGACGTATAAAAAATCGTTGAAACAGATGTCAAATTTGTGTTCAAATATTAAAATATTTTTGATAGAGTGTTAACAAGGGCGTATCACGTGGGGGCAGGATCTGACCCCTAAGCGTCTTGGATTTGAACAGTGAAAATAAGGAGGGGCAGGATTGCAAGGTGTCAGATGGTGCAATGATGAAAGAAAAGTAAAAAAATCAATGGCGGGTTTTCTTTTCTCGTAACGTTTAGATGCAATTTAATATATTTTTTCATCGGTTCTGCCGTTTGATCGAATGAATCCCTGATCGTGGCATAATACACAGGACTTTCGTTGCCGCGTGTATTTTATTTTGTCTAAACGAATAATACAAATTACGCAACAAATTAAAATAAGTGTGTCATTTAAGGGGATCCGTACAACATCGAATGCGTGAGGAATAGTTAGGTATATAAAATGGTTTCCTTTATTCTTACCTGAACGTCAAATATTGAGTTACAGTTGACTTGTACCCCGTAATTTTTCTGTATATAGTCGGCTAGTTTTCTTTTGTTGTTCTCTTTCACTGAAATTATTTTCTGTAGAAAGCCTTCATCGTCAACGTAGACTTTCTGTAATATTGTAAATAAATCCGTTTTAAACATACTTTAACAAATGATCATTTTAAGCTACCCCCAAGAACAATTTAACAGTAGATCTAATTTCTTACAAGCTTGTTGGTCATTCTTACAAAATGGAAAAATCAATCGTTAATCAATTTTTCTTTCTGATCAGATCACGAATCACTTGTCTTAATAACTGATATAAACTTTTATTACCCTTCCAGATTTTTTATTCCTTTTTGATTGGATATTGGTCACCCGAAAGAAATTGATATTACCGAGCCAGACGGGTAATATACACACTAAATTTCCCCGCTGGATACCCCACGCTGTAAACAACATGCGCTGTGGCGATGCGCGTACAGTTTGATTTTACGCGTTTACAAGCACCTTTTAAGTGTCAAATGATAAATATTTACCAAAATAGAGTAATGATAAATATTATCATAAGTATTGAAAACAAATATGACCTTGTGGATGCTTGATATTAATTCCAAAAAGTGCGTTCAACGGACTACTCCTTTTCTCTTGTTTACATTCGTAAGGTTCGAAAGAAAATACGTCATGTATTTATGTGACGTCATGTTGTGGTGAAGGGGTACCCTAAAGGGAATCTTATTTCGACGTTTCATTTGAAGTAGCAATGATTTATATTAAAATCTTCTTAAAGTAACTCGGCAGGGGAAGGGTAATAAAATTATTATTTTGGTTTTGGAGTAATATATGTAGATATATTACCTGCCAAGATAAAATATCACCCTCACCTAACGGCTCCGGTGATATAAAATCCTGACAGGTAATATATCCACATATATCACTCCAAACCCAAAATAACATATAATAGTTTTAACCAACATAAAATGTTTCATATTTTATAATTCGAATGAATGAGAATCTTATCACAGCCATGAGTATTTTAACAAAAATATGAATTTATGTCACGAAAGTACACTGTAATATAAGATAATACGAAATCTTACCAGTTTTTTAAGTTGATCAAGGTGTTTTACCCATCCATCTCCTATACGCTCAGTGATTAAATCGGCTAGCTCTGGGTTGCATAGCAACAACCATCTCCGTGGAGTTATTCCATTCGTCTTGTTCTGGAATCTACCGGGAAACATTTCGTAGAAGTCTTTGAATACCTGCCTCTTCAGAATCTCAGAGTGTATCTTTGCGACTCCGTTCACAGCATGGGAACCAACGATCGCTAAATGCGCCATGTTGACTTGCTTTTGTGGCGTTTCCTCTACTATTGACATTCGTCTTAATCTATCGTCATCATTTGGAAACCTTTGCTTCACTTCTATTAGAAAGAGGTGGTTTATGTAATAGATGATGTCAAGAAGACGAGGCAATAAGCTTTCCATCAGCTCTACTGGCCATCTTTCCAAAGCTTCCGGAAGAACTGTGTGATTTGTGTATGCGCATGTGCGGTAAGTGATATTCCAGGCTTGTTCCCACTGCAGCCCTTCTTCGTCCATCAGAAGCCGCATAAGCTCGGGCACAGCAAGGGCAGGATGGGTGTCGTTTAACTGAAATGCTAGCTTGTTATGAAATTCCTCAAACGATTTTCGTTTACATACAAATACACCAGGCTGGGACGATTTGTACCGCCTGATGGCGTCTTGAAGTGAGGCAGATACTAGAAAGTACTCCTGCTTTAGTCGTAGCGCTTTTCCCTCAAACATGTTATCATTAGGATAAAGAACTCTTGTGATGTTCTCAGCTAAATTTCTATCAAATACTGCCTTAATGTATTCTCCGTCGTTGAAAAACTCTAGACTAAAAGAGTTTGGAGCCCTGGCCGACCATAACCGTACTACATTCACAACGTTGTTCTTGTACCCGGGCACCGGGGTATCATATGGCACTGCTAGCACATCTTGTGTGTCCACCCACTGTACCCTTTCACCTTTATTGTGGATAACTCTTCCACCAAATTTTACCTTCTGCGTGTATTCATGTCTCACAATTTCCCATGGGTTACCGTTCTTTAACCATTGGTCAGGCTCCTCGTACTGCTGGCCGTCTTTGATCTTCTGTGCAAATATACCATAGTCGTATCTACAAATATATTATTATCATTATTATTATTATTATTATTATTATTATTATTATAACATTTATTATTATTATTATTATTATTATTATTATTATTATTATTATTATTATTATTATTATTATTATAATGAAAAAAATGTTATGCTAAAAATGAGGAAAATGTATATAATAAAATATTTATTTTCATACTACTTGATGTATTTATAGTAAAAAACCTTAAACATCATTAATCTATATGACGATATTTATAACTAAGTATCAATATCTCATCATCGAAAATTAAAGGATAAAGAAACAAGAGTGTCTAAAATAAATAAATGAAATAATAATATAAAAGAAATAACAACAAACTCCATTTGTTCAGTTATTACAGTAGCGCTTTCAATGCTTATTGTGCTTATATCATCAGCCGATAACAAGCATTGATAGCGCTACCGAAATAATGGAAAATATGGATTTTGTTGTTATTTTGTTGTCAATATTATTATTTTATTTAAGTATAAGTATATACATATAAGTAAAATCATTATCGTTTTTTTTTTATTTCTCTTTTCAGTTTTAAAGTGCAATGTTGCCGGATATGGGGAGTGACTTTTCTGATTGAACTGTGCTGTATTTCTGGCACCTATCTATAACTACTATAGTCAACATCTCTAATTTCGCGTCATCACTATCACGTTATTTCAAGGTAAAGGCTTATTTCAATGTGACTAGTGTTAACATTGCTAAAATTTGACATATTTTAGTCATACACCTTAACAAAAAAGTTTTTGTACAAAGAATTTTAAATCTGTAGATTCTTTTGGTAAAACAGAATAACATTTTACCCATTTCTGCAAAAGACACATTAGTCGTTAAAATGTAAGCATATGTCTGAAACAATCATCAATTTCTAAATGTTCCTGTTTTTTGTTGTTTTTTTTTTAATAATTCACGAAGTAACGATAGTTTTAATATTTCAAATTGAGCATTCTAACACTATCGGAATTTTTTCTATATAGACAAAGAAGGCCGGAAGCGTGCATTATTCTACAACAATGCACTCGCCGTTCTTATTATCTCCCTGTGTATTTTCACATTGAAGGCGCCATTTTGTTTAAAAAATCTGATAAATTAAAACAGTTTTTTTCGAATTTTGTTGTGAAAACTATCTAGAATGAAAGAAAAGGGTCTAACTAAGAAAATTAATCCGAACACCAATATCTTTAATTTAGTCGTTAACGCTGTACAGACGTTTAAAGTGTTGTTTACGTGACGTCACAATGTAGCGCCAAACAGCACGTGCAAAACAATCAAATCAAGTTCGCTATTTAATGTCGCAAACGAGTTTAGTTTTACATTTATTTCACTTTTAATAATTTGTATTTCGCTTGGAAAATTATAAACTGAAATAAATAAACAAACAAAGTTGTATCAACGTTTTCAAAATTCGTTATTTTCAAAATGTTTCTACAAACGGTAGATTTAACAGTTTTTTTTCAACCCACTGGAACGGCCTCTAAAGAACGTTTCTATTGAAAACTCTGAGGCGAAAACAAATTCAACCACCAAACATAAAGTCCAACGTTATAATAAAAATTATATTTTTCTTGACGTATTAGAATGGAAATAGATATCAATTCTTCGTGCATTATTGTATAATAATGCACGTTTTTCGTTCAAATGCTTTGTAATTAATCACTCAGGCCTATCGGCCTTCGTGATTATATTACTACGCATTTGAACTCAAACCGTGCATTATTCTACAACAATGCACTCAGAATTGATATCTATTTCCTAAATATAACATTTTATAAATTCAACTGAAACATAAAAAAACTATAAAAGAAAATGTTCATTTCCATTCTTCATGAGACAGACTAGAGTGTAGCACCATTTACCGCGATTTAATTGGTGACATACTGTTTTCAAAATGTCCGACCCATGATCTACGTCTGACAAATTAAATCTGATTTTGATTGAATGTTTTTTTGTTTCATTGTGTCATACAGCAGAAAATATCTATAGATGTTACAGCTCATGATTATTTTTTGTCCTGAAAGTTCATTGTTTTCCTTCTTGTTTTAAAGCGTTAAGTACCCTAAACTAAGAGGAGCACAGCATACATTTGTAACTTTAAACAATCTTGCAAACTTATCAAATAACAGAAATTAAAAGTCCCGCGGCTGTGGCGGAAACAGTATTTGAGGGGAAGTCAACACATATTCATTATTAGAAAATAAGCATAATTTTCCATTGAAATACAACTATAATTATACTATATGACTTTTTGCACATGTTTCACGAATAGGAAAATGACCATCAAGCAAAAATAGTTCTACCATAACTATGTTTATATCCAACCAGAATGTTAGCCTTAATTTGGTGACAAAGGGTTCATTCATTCATTCATTCATTCATTCATTCATTCATTCATTCATTCATTCATTCATTCATTCATTCATTCATTCATTCATTCATTCATTCATTCATTCGTTATTTATTTATTTATTTATTTATTTATTTATTTGATAATCCCCGTTAGTCCGAAATTTCATTACAAAGCTTTTACCGCTCTGCATGTGTCATCTCATAAAAGAAATATAGCACAAATGTGGCACCTTTGGATTCATTCTACAAAACTAAAATTGAATTTGAAAGGAAATATTTGAAAGTAGGAAATACTTTGAATTTAATTATTTTGTAAAATATAACTGAACTGAGAGCTTTTTTATCGAACCTTATTCCATATCCGTATGCAGCAAGTCCGAGGGTCGCCATTGAATCAAGGAAACAAGCCGCAAGCCTCCCAAGCCCGCCATTTCCTAGACCTGCATCTTCCTCCATATCTTCCATAACGTTCAAGCTCAATCCCATGCTCGACATAGCGGATTCGCAGACGTCTTTGATACCAAGATTGATCATGGTGTTCTTCAACGTGCGCCCCATATAAAACTCTAGCGATAGGTAGGATATTCTCTTCACGTCATTTCTATAATAATGCTGGTACGTACGTAACCATCTTCCGGATAAATAATCTCGCACGGTTAACGCAAGCGCGTTGAAGAAGTCTATATTTGAAGCACTGGACCTATCTTTCACAAGAGTAAAATGTAAATGTCTGTTGAATTGTTGTTTGATTGACTCTTCTTCATTATCATCTTTGGTGCCAATTCCTGTTATACTTATCTGCTTACGTTTAAAATCAGTACTAGGCGTCCGCTCTGCCAACGCCATCTTGAAATGAAAAGTAAGTATTGTCTGTAAAGGATATGACGTCAAAAGATAACGCGGTGTTTTCGCGGGGTTTTACGTCCTGTTAAACGTCGACGTTCATCATAAAAGCAATACAGGATTTGACAATAAACATGTTATGAAAATGTTATAAACTGATATAAATATTATGGGGAGAGATTTCTTTTTAAGTAACAGATTGGTATTTTGAAACCGCAGATTTTAACTTTGTACCATTTGAAGAGTGATTTGTCCGTAATGTTTTCATTTTTCAATACAGTTAGACTTCTTTCAGGGATTTTCAAAGGTTGGGGAAGCAGTCCTGCCCTTAATATTTTTGGGTTAAATACACAGCATATTTGCAAAAGGGGAGTAAAAACTTGATGTATATTCAATTTTTGAGAAAAACTGCATGATTTTAAAGAATGTTTCTTTTGGGAAGCAGCCCCTTCTATAGAATGAGAAAAGCCCTGCTTTGAGTTGATTTTGAAAATTATGGACCTACACACATACACATCGCTTAGGAAATCTTAATCAAATGATTTTTAAAAATTTTGAGCAAAGGTTCTTGAATTATTATATAAGTAAATCATTCGTATTATCATTTTGCATCGTATTGGCTTTCTAATTTGTTAACAATCATTGTTATATGATCGTATGATTCTATTAAAAGCCTGATAGACAGGGGGAAGGTGTTGCATACCTTTTTTTTTTGCTTCCTATTTAGGGATTTTATTCTTTTACATATTTTTGATATTTGGATATAATTCATTACACCCCTTCTTTGCACAGGCTTCTTGTTATACAAGGAACGCTATATGATATTAAATAAGTGTAACGGGATTAAAGGGATACTCAGGCAAATAAATGACAAAAATATCAAAATGATTTATTGTACTCAAATCACGCTAAAATGACATTTTCTAAAGTCCCAGCATGAAATTCTGTATAAATTCTACTTATTTTGGGTTTGAAGCGTAAATAGATCTAGATGTATTGAACGAAATTTGGACGCCGACAGAACAACCGAATCGTTTTAAAACAAGCAATGTGACTTGAACAAACCCTGGAAGTTACAATAACAGATTTTGTGTTGAAACAAGTCTAAGTCATTCATTTGATATGTTCTTTTATGTTTCCAGTTCACTGTGGGAATTTATATGATATCTTAACGCTCTAACCTGATCCACGTGGGTCAAGTTAGGAAACCAGCATTTTATTCTTTATAAGGAAAAATATTTTGTTCCTATGACAGCCTAGTCATTTATTTTGATGACATTTACAGAATAATGAATGAAAAAATCAAAACGAAGAAATGAAAATTATGCCTGTGTCTCCTTTAATACATTTTTGTTATTGACTAACGAAGTAAAAAACAACACTATTATTTCTTACATTTCATGAACAAACATGACACAGCGAGGTGGCAAACATGAATAAAAGTACAATAAAGCTCAAATTGCAACTAATTAACATCAGATAAGGTTATAGTAACTGAAAACTATGAAAGTAAAGATATCAAATGTTAGGTTTGTATACTTTCAAGGTTAGTGGAGTGCAAGAACTGTTCTGTATATTTATCAAACACGTGTGTTCAACTCCATTCACCTAGCAGTTATATAAAAGTGCTTAACATACAATATAATTACTATCAAGAATACAATTATTCATGGCATAATAATATTTTCAACATAGGCAAAAAGAAGAAGAATATTCTTTTTGTATACAGTGAATTGAAATGACTACTTTTTTATAAATATGAAAAGTGAATTGATATTTGACGTCCTCCTGTACTTTATTTGAAATATGAAGAGACCGAAACAAAGAAACGATTTCTCATAAGTAATTTATTCTTGAATAAAAAAATAATTATTTTAATAATAAAAACAACAACAACAACCAAAATTAAATGTATGAATACACGAAACAGATACATGTACGGTATTCCGGTTTTACATAGACAAAATAAAATGTCGGGATTTTTTTCATTATATCGTGTCAAAATACTTAAATTTAGTATTTTTAATGTATTGCTATAGAAATGTTAAGATATTAAATAAGATTTTTATTATTTTTTTAATTAATAGACTCTTATTATATATGTATTAAATACGACGGTATTTCGGATAATAATCGTTTACACCTAAAGTCAATTGGAATCCAAACGTTTTATAATGCATGGTTATAAGTGAGTGCTTAATATAAGTAAATTGATATCTATTTTAATATAACAATGGTGAGTTATAAATTCAAATCAGTATATAAGTTGTTGTTGTTGTTGTTGTTGTTGTTGTGGGAGTCTATAAATAAGTTGAAGTAAACTTTCAAGGATACAAAGTTTAAGTTATAGATTTTAAATTTAAAGTATTCACCAAAGCTATTTATTCGATGCAACATGTAATATTAAATTATTTACAGTCTCCAAAAATTTTAATAAGAGAAAGATTACATTAAACAATGAAATTTTACTATGACTGCGATTCTTGAAATTTTGCAATAATGGGATATTGTGTATGGATTTATTCATACTTTATCGTCTGGGAACACAATAAAGACAACGAGAGAATGCAAAATATATTTATTTGTCCAAATTAGAGAAATAGCATATCATTAGAAAGATTTAATGTTTCATTGTAAGTAAAGATATCTATGCTATATAGATTGTGATAGAAAGTTATCTGAAGGTACTTGTAATGTAGTTTCTTTTTCATGTTTAAGAGAAGGAATTCAGCACTTTTTCTGGATTTCGGATAAAAAAAATTACATTTTTTAGCACTGTATGTTTTGTGGGATAAAGTATATATACCGCTAAGAAAAAGAAAGTACTACGAAATAATGCACTTTTTCGGACGAGTTCTGGAGTATTGTGTTTCTGTAATCATGAAGATAGTCGGTAGTCGTATATTTCAAGTCTTATTTCGGATGAGTTGCTAAAATATAAATATCAGATTACCAAAGAATACAAAGATAGATAGATAGATTTATTTCAGTATTCAGTAAATAACATGGTAAAAACATATCCAATACAAAGGGGATATTTGTGATATGAAAAATATCATATTTCACTTCTGGCTACCGACACTTATGAATTATTTATTATATACTTATAAATGAAGTATTGATGAAATAAAATTTTCATTTTCCGTATTTTCACTGTAAAAAATTATTTTTCACTGCAGTGAAACATATTTTCCGTATTTTCACTGGTGTCTTGCCGGATTACTTTCTTTAAATTCTGCCAGTACACACAATTTAGGGGAAAGTCTTTCAAATTTTATCGCGAAAAAGAGAAAAATGTATATAATAAACAGAAAATTCAAGTTTTTTTCTATAAATACATGATCTATTTTCATCTTGTGGCATGAAAATTACCATATTTCACTCGTGGCTTCCGCCACTCATGAAATATTTATTTTCATACCACTCGATGGAAATAAATCATGTATTTATAGAAAAAACTTGAATATCCTCTATTTATTTTCATACCATTCGATAAAAATGAATCCTTTATCCATGGAAAAAACTTGAATTTTTGCTTTTATATTCATTTTTTTTTATTTTACTTTTTTATTTTTTACTTTATTTATTTATTTATTTCTTTTATTTATTTATTTATTTATTTTTTATTTTTTATTTATTTATTTATTTATTTTGACATAACAATTTGAAATATTTTGGTTGAATTTAAAAGAAAGTAGTCCGGCAAGACAGAAGTGAAAATACGGAAGATATGTTTCACTGCAGTAATTTTTACAGTGAAAATACAAAAATAAAGATAAGCATTTATTTCATCAATATTTCTCAAAACAACATTTATAAGTATATGATAAAAATTGTTATCTTATACTTATAAATGAAATATAGGGAAATGAAATAAAATGCGTATATTCATTATCCGTATTTTCACCGTAAAAATTTTTTTCATTGCATTCACTGCAGTGAAACATATTTTCCGTATTTTCACTGGTGTATAGCCGGACTACTTTCTTCTAAATTCATAAAGTGGAAATCTTTCAAATTGTTATGTTAAAAAAAAGAAAAATGTTCATAATAAACAGAAAATTCAAGTTTCTTTTCTATAAATACAGGATTTATTTTCATCTTGTAATATGAACATTATCATATTTCACGAGTGGCTATCACCACTCGTGAAATATTTATTTTCATACCACTCAAAGAAAACAAATCCTGTATTTATAGAAGAAACTTGAACATCCTCAATTTGTTTTCTTCAATGTAAGCCATATGTTCTTTGTTTCCTGATTAATTAATTCATTATATGTAAAAAAAATATTTATTTTATCATAAATTGGTTATATACAAACTTTTAACATATTATGTGTATGTATAGACGATTGTTTAACTGACCTATAGCACTTGTCAAAGTGCAAAACAGACGTCATAACGGAACATGCGTTAAACGTGCGAACCACGTTATGGTGTTAAGCGGCAAAAAATTGGTAACATGTAGAAATTTATTTATTTATTTTTTTATTTTTTTTGAGGCCCCATCTGGGTAACCCCTTTATTTACCCCGTAATAGGGGATCGGGGTCATACTCCATCATAATATACAATATATATGTTGCAAAATAATTATATTAATGTAAATATTGTCAAAAACATCTAAAAGGGATATATTTTTTTATATTTAAAAATAAAAAACATTTCCCTACAATTAAAAACCCAAACTATTTTCCAAAAAATTTTTACCAAAAAAAAACTACTAAAAAATTAAATTTAAACAAAAACAAAATTTTTACGAGGAAAAATTTTTTGTTTCACATAAAGAAATTTAAGGATTTTATAATTGACCATCTATTATTTTTCATCTTGTCAATTTGTAATTCTATAGATATAGTTCCATGCTAATTTCAAAAAACCTATTTTTTTAAAAACCAAATAGGCATGTTAGGTAAAAAAGTTTTTCTCTTTAGACAAATAAATATATCTTTCCAAATTCCTAGAAAAACAATTTTTGTCATATTTAAAAATCTTTAAGTTTCTGTACCTAATATGGGAATGATTTACAACAAAGAACAATCATCAAATTTATGTAAGTTTTCTCTAAGATATTGAAAAATAGGCTTGAATTTTCTGACATTCCCAAAATAAATGTAAAAGTGTTTCTTCACAGCATTTTACAAAAAGTACACATTTATTGTCAACAATTTTTTTCATTTTAAACAAAAATTGAGTTTGTAGCTAAAGTTCTATGAATAATTCTTTGTTTGGAAGGCATTGAATATATGAATCTTTAGAACTTTTGAAAAAATAACTACAAATAACTAATTGCATGTACATTTTTATTGCCTGTTTTAAACTATGATACTGTAAAAAGTTCACAGGTTTACCTGTGACCTGTTCTAAATATATCATGTAGAAATTTATCAATAAAGCGGTACATGAACAAATGGATCAATAGTGATACAGATGTCTATAAGACAGTGTTAATAAAAAGAGGATAAAAGACAAACATTTTAATACTCATGTAAAACATTTATAAATCAAACAATACTTTTTTATATACATGTTTTATACATGTATATGTAAAACATTATAATATTATGCAACAACAGAAAGCAGCTAAAATCAATTATACTTCACCAATTCACGGGAAATTAATACATGAAGTAATTATGGGCCGATAAATAATCACAATGGTCCCTCTCTAATGATTTTGCAATTCATAATGCTATAATGCATAAAGAGTAAAACATAAGAGAATTTAAACTTTTAAAAACAGCTTTCTGATCAATGAAATTCATTGTTGCATTTTGAACAATCAAATAATCATTTTATTGATTTGACTGTAACGTTAAGTGATCGGTTTTGTAATAAATACTACGTATGCATACATACATGAAAAAGGGACATTCTTTAAGGTTAAGTTTACTTCAAAATTATACTTTAAGGAGTGAAAGTTGAAATAAGGTTCTTGAAACATTTTAAAGTGTCATAGCCTTCATAAAATCTGAAGAGCAGAAACCGATTTATTAAATACTTAATCGATATTTAAACTCTGTGCTGCGTAAGAATTTATGGTCGTGAAAATTGAAATACCTCTTTTAAAACTCTAAAAGGGCATCTTAAATGTAATTTACAATGTTTTAAAAACAGGCTAACATTTTCCTTCCCAAAATGGGTTTAAACGTTAAATATAAATAAAGGGACGTTGGGTTTTCAACATTAACTTCGTGTACACAATAGATGTGGGTAAACAATGAAAGTTTTATGAGAGGCTTAGGTTACAAGGAGGTATAAATAATTTGTAATTAATAAGTCAACATGTTTGAACAGTGCTTTTGAACAAAAGTTCGCCCACATTTACGCTTGCGAGTGAAAATGATGGATTGTTTTTGAAAAAAAAAATGAAAAAAAAGGTTTAAAGCAAACTGAAAAAAAGGAATACAGAATTAATTAAGGTTAATTTAAACAAAACAAATTAAAAACGCTGTATTTACAATAAATATATATGGGGAGGATTTTAATGGAGTGTTTGATGGCATTATAAAAAAATTGTAATTCTTAAATAAATGTTCACTTATTTTCATTACGAATATCTGTAGAAAAGATTTGTTCGCAAACTAGTTTATATGTTTCAATACTTTCATTAGAAAGGCATGAATGTTGGTACTGAGCTACATATGGTATTTATATTTTTTGTCAAGGAGGTAGAAATATAGAATTTCCTGGACTCTTTCATAATTTTTATATTTGACAGATGCCAACCTCAAGCCAGTCTTTGATTCTTCAGACGACAAACGGGCAGCTGCCGCCCTTTTTTGGCCGCCATGTTTGGAGGGCGGAGCCACCTCCAGGTCTTGAATGGAGCAGTTCTGAATATCCTATGACGACCGTGCAGGTTAGAACCAACTTTACAGAATCTGACAATAAACGGTATAAAACTGGGAGAAAACCACAGCCTTTGAAAAGAACAGGTTCTGCACCGGAGCTGACATGTAAAGTAGATTTTTCTACACTTCCAAATTTATTGAAAATAAGAGGTTTGCATGGGACAGTTAGGTATGATTCGGATGACAAGTACGTAAGTTGGAAGATAAACTCTATCGGTCCGTTCTATAACCGCGTGAATCTAAGAGGACAGTATCCATTGACGGGGAAAACAACACCTGGCACCTTGCGGTATTTTCATGCGGATCGAAAAATTTTTCAATGTATCCCGGGGGGCGAGACCCTTTTTTTCCGAGGAAAAATATCAAACACCCCGGAAATTCAGGAAAACAGGTTTTCTTTTACACCAAGAAAAAAAACTTTAATAAGGCAATCACATCCAGATGCAAGTTCCCCTTTGAAAGATAATGTTTTCATGTCAGTTGAAGTTAACGGTGGGAAGTTACGAATGATAAAAACAAACATGGAAAAAGCAGGTTATTTTAAGTTAGTTCAAATACAGGATCCGCATTATGAATCAGAAGATTTTCATGGAAATAGAGTCCCTATATTTCGACTTGAGAGTTGCCAACCTACCGAAGCTGGATGTTTTCGGTTGGCTCCAACAGAACCTAGAGAAGTTGGTGATTTCAAACTTGTTCCGCCGCAAGGTTATCTGGCTGATGACTTCAGACTGGTACCATCTCCTGAAGTGCAAGGTGCGTTCGTGTTACTGCAGTCCGAGACTGGCAACCCTGGTCAATATCATCCGGTGCTGCGCAATAAAGATGCGCATGAAGACTTCCGTTTTGTTCAAGCCAAGATACAACAGAGATCAAATGCGGATATTAATGTGCCAAGAGAAGCTTGGGGAAATAACCATACCTACATCGAACAAGAGAATAGATACAGATACTATAATATGAGTAAGGATAAAACTAATCATGGCAGTTCAAGCGATCACAGATACGATTATTTTGATGACGTAAGAGATCGATACAGCCCTGTTGAAAACAATAATTTGCCTGATATAAGTCTATATGAATCAAATAAAGGCAACGTATTGCATCATCAACCCACGGCTGCTAAGAAATACGGTGCATCAAGCACGTTCGATAATGATTTAAGAACGTTTAACCGGCATTTAGACGAATTCAACCAAAGATACCAAGACAGTATGCGGCGTGTTTCTTCACAAGATTCAAAGAGACCTGTTCAACTTGATGATGAGACACAGGATAACGATAAAGAAAATAAGCAAGGTCCTGTCGTTGGAGCAGGATTTAGCTCAAAAGTATTAAGCAGCGAATGGAAAACTCATGATTTTGACCAATGGAGCAGAACTACGAAGAACACACTTCTAGAACCGGTGGAAACGCCGACAGCTGGAGTTACTCGGTAAGTTGTAATGTTCAGAATTTTAAGTCAAATACAAGAAGACCTTGTTAAAACATGACAAGTTATCAAATGTTACATTTGAACACCTGAAAAAGCTGTTATGATTTGATTTTGTAAATTGACTTCAAGTGTGTTATAGATATAGTAAACACGTGACGGTATTTGTTGTAATTAATCATATATCTAATATCATATTTTTTTTTAATAAGACGCGCCAAATCTAGCTTTTACGCCTCTTCCAATCAATATTATAACCTTCGTTAAGATGGCTTGTAACGGCGTTTGACGAAATTTTATATCTAATAATGTTTTTTTTTTTAATTTAGTTTTTCATTTATTATTACCTTTATTTATCTTTTTTTAAGTGGGTGGGGGCAAATGCATAAAATGACGAAGAAAATGATAAATGGTGTACGAGCATTCATTGATTTCGTGCCGGAAGGAAAAATAAACTATATCATTTTTGATTTCATTACTATAGTCTTTATTTAAAAAGGTTACACTCATCATTCAAGGCAAAGCATTATGGTTTTTTTAAATTACTCGAAGATATTCCACTGAGACTTTTAACATGTCGGGATTGAAAATATCTTTTCGAGATCTGTGTTCTGTTCGATAAAGTTCCGAAGCAATTACGTATTTGTAAAATTTTATTCGCTCACTTCATTTACCCGGAATAATTAATTTGATTGTGCGAAATGGTTCAAAAATAAATATGCGTGAATATAATCAAATCTAACAATGAATTGCAAAAGAAATCGACCGGAATATGCCTGATTTCGAAGATAAGGGGTATATTGTTTTGCAAATGGCGTTGGAATGTATTTTGGTGGTTAGAACAGTTCGTTTCCGCTCAATAACTAGACAACCATTTGACCAATAACATTTAAACTTCATAGGAGGACTCTCTGTAATGAGTATGAAAACAGTTTCTAATTAATGTCAGAAGTATGGTCAATAATAAAAACCACAGTATTTGTTAGTTAATACATAGAACACATTTATTATCTAATATCTGTGTTTATCACACACCCGTGCCGCTTTTGTGTCTCCGTAAAAATGGTATTGCACGGCCGTGCATATATTTACATATATTTACCGGTACCGTTGGCCTAGTGGTTAAGGCGTCCGCCTTCGGACCGGGAGGTCGAACGTTCAAGCCCCACGGGGAGTGTTAATTGAAGGATGAATGTTTCTAGTGGGACTCGTTCCGAAATGAATTCATTGAACTCGTTGAATAAAATTATATAATGTTGCATATTATAAATTTATTCAACTCCTTCAATAAAGATAGTATTGAAATTACACTCATTCAATATCCTCTTTAAGATATGATGCAATTTAGAAGTGGAATTATGAACTATTATCATTATAGTAATTGACATGCACCGGGTGCATTTGATTGCTGATCCAAATACCAATACTATTGTTTTTTTAAAAAAGATTTTCAACTTTTAGAGACATACTTAGGTTGCTGAAAACTTTTATTATGTTTCTTTTGTTCGCTCTCAGTGCACAAGAACTTCAGAGAGCACAGTGAACTTCAGAGAAAAAAATCCAAATCTATTTCATCCCCTGGATGGGCATTAATTAGCACCCATTGCCGTAGACCTCCTCGAAGAACAAAAAAAAAAAAACCCATTTCGGTCGAGTTATAAAACAACATCTTGTTTTTGATATAAGGCATTAACATTTATTTACAATAACAAAGTGATTTCTGTTGTTGTTTTCTTTTCTTTATTTCTTTCCTTTTTTTTGGGGGGGGGGGGGGGTTTTGATGGGGGTTAATGAATTCTGTTAAACTAGGAGGGTACTTTTATCTGGCTATACACAAATATTTACCGGCTAAAATTTCGCTTGAAAACGGAAAATCTTAAGTTTGGTTGAAATATAAAATATAACTTCTAGTTTTCTCGTTTCCATGTGATATATTCTTGAATATAAAAAAATATATTAAGTCTGGTGCCTTATATCACACCTTTCTGTTCTTACTTTTCGTTCTAATTTTGTCATGTTCAACAAAAATACATGTAATGGTATAATGGCATACATGCACTTTGATTTGAATTAATTTCATTCTTATAAATCACACTCTGAGAGATACTTCTTCTTCCAAGCTGCAAAATACATCAATTGTTACTAGTAGTTGCCGAATTACAAACGATAATCCTAAATACTTGGATTTTTATTTTTAGTTACTTTGCTTTCAAATTATCAAATTAAAAATTTACTTTGTGTAAGACAGGACTTTGTCGAAAATAGGGACTTCTAAAAGTAAGTGAGGTTCAATTATACAAAAAACAACAACAAAAAAACGAAAAAACGTCTTCAAATGAAATGGAAGAATGATAGAGGGATACCTCTATATCAATGCAGACATTCATCTTAAGAAATCAAGTCCTCTGACCTTAAAGGAACTCAACTAAAGTCCACAAGACTAAATTTTTGTATACATCATCTGGTGCATTTAAAGATGACATATATACAAAATATGATAAGGATAGATCTACTCCTAATCAAATACAACAAAATCGTATTTTTTTCTTATCCCGATTTATGCTACCGTTACATATTAAACGCTTTTCATTTTTGGTCTTTTTTCCACATTATGGTAAAAACATAGTGAGCTAATGATCTGAAATTTTAGACACAAGTTACCGGTCTAGTCTTACATCAAATGGTATTAAAGTCTCGGAATTATTACAAGTGTCGTCATATGAAAGAAAAGTGGCGTGCCTTTAAGTTTGATTTGAGATATAAACTAAAAACTATTCATCGAAACTCCATTTAAATTTTCCTCTATTATTTCAGAGCTGTTCAGAAGATGCCAGCAATCAACACAGACATGACACAGTCGAATCAAGAAAAAGATTCGTTGTTAAATGAAGTTCAGTTCAAAGCAAATTACAAGCAATGGAAAAAGAAAAAGATGGCAACTGTGCGCATGCGCAAAACTCTCCCAGCAAGTGATCCTTATGCGGTGTGTATTCGGTTTGAGGAAAATGATATATCTCATGACGAATTGAAAGCTAAAATTGAAAGGGAAACAAATCAGAAAGTAGCAGGGCTGCAATTTGATCCTGTTTCTGTGCACTCGATTGACCCGGAAGCCACTAGCAGATGGATCGTTCGATTTCCCGAGACAACGATTTGTGAAGAACTTTCCCAAAATGGCTTAAAAATAAATGGAGTTAAGCTCCGAGTTCGAAAATTTGATGACGTAATGCGGGAGGAGCATGAGGCATATAAATTGTATAAACTAGTGAAAGATTTCACGGATAAAAAATCACAGAAAACCCCAGGCAGAAAAGACGTTAAAATGCCTAAAGTACTGAAAACAATGCATACACAAACAAAACAGGCATGAATAAGTAACATCATAGGTTCTTATTTTTATTGATTACGCGAAATAGAAGCTAACAATGACTTCAAGAAATGTTATAATTTTAGATGGAAGAAGAAAAAAACAACTAGTTGTACAGAATCTATTTTATATAAACTTTGTATATAGATCTATATATATTGTACAAGAAGATTGGTTCCATCATTATTTTAGATAGGTTAAAACGATATTGATTGCTACCCTATAGTTAAAAAAACCCCAAAAAACAACATATTTTCTCCAGTGTATGTTGTCATACGCCCATTAAGGTCTGCTGTTTGTATATATGTACATGTATTTAAGTTTAAAAATATTGGAATTGTGTTTTTGGCCACTTGTAGCTCAACAATTGCTCATTTTGTGCATCCCGCCCCATGGTCGGATACCTATGGTTGATTTACAGGCTGATAAGTGTTAACAGTTCGGCCGTCGGTATCCGACGATGCCCGTCCCCTTGATAATTTATAATCGATATTATACTCAACCGAAACACATCGTGTCCGAAGATTATTATACATGTATACATGAAAATTTAAATGAATTATTACACTTTTTGTCTTCTTCAGTGCTACATTAACCAATTTTCCATTTCCTTCTGCGGTTAACTAAGTACAAAAACGTCATTACCTATATAGTTATAGTTATTCAGAGACGGTGAAATTTCGGGGAAAATGATGGCCCTGTATCGCTCACCCGAGATACATTGCTAAAACAAGATACACTTTTTATTGGGTTTGTCATTTTGTACTCCAGCTGTATTATTCTTAAAGTATTTTAAGATGTCTGCCACGATATGATTCATGACTAATATCTAAGCTTTTCGTATTGCAATCTGAAACTAGAAGGCTAAGTAACATGTATTTCACTAAGCAAGTCAATATATTATACTAAATGACCCCCAGAACAAGACCTGATATTTCCAGGGGCGTTATTTTTATAACTTTCGTAGAGGACCACAAGGTGATGCTACATGCCAAATATCTGAACTCTTAGCAGGTACTTTACTGCACAAGTCTATGTAAACTAAATTACCCCAAGGCGTTGCCATGTTGGCCTCAGGGGCATGACTTACATGACTTTTGTGGGGGTTCACTAGGCAATGATTCATGCCAAAAAAACTAAGCTCTTGGCATTAAAGTTTCACAACAAATTAAATGATTTTTAAAGATTTCTTTTTGTAAAGTCTTTTTTTTTTGTTCCTGTGACCTACTTCTGCATCGGACTGGAAACATGGATATAAGTTTTTAGGACCACCTAAAGGTCACCTTTCGATTAGCTCAATTAGTAGAGCGTTTGACTGTGAATCTGGCGACACGGGTCCGATTGCCGTATGCATAGTGCAGGTGACTTTCGTTGTAATTTGATCATGAAATCATTTCTTCGGTCATTCGTATTTTACCTCAGCCTTGGCATTTATCAGTCCCTTGTGAAAGTGAAGGCACTTGTACTGATCAACTGCTGGAAAGCCTGCACAGGAACGATGCGCTTGCTGAACTGAATCCAAGGTGGCTTGTGGTCGTTATTCGAAAGGTAAACTACAATAACCAACACTATAACCTAAGTATCAATCATGTGAAGTTTGGCTGTTTGTTTAAAGAAATTATGGATAACGGCAAACGACGGTGACACTGCAATCACAAAAAATTATCCCTGAGCACTTTGTACCTCAGGTGCGCTGAAAATACACAAACCATAATGATCAGTTAGAAACATGTATGCTTTTTATATAGGGAAAAATGTTTATTGTGACAGTAATGGCGTTCCATAGAAATGGGTTGCTTTTGGTGCTGTGTTATAAAATTTATAAGTACCAAACAAGAGAACGAGATCAGAGATCAACTATCGCAATGCTAACTGGTTCTGAGCTTAACAAAAGGATTTTTCTTATCTTCTAGCCCAACAAGTTTCGATTGCTGATGCTATGTAACGCTCCCAGTTTACTGTGCATTGGTCTCTAACTTTCTTATTTCAGTAAATGATAACGAACAGGCTTGACATGTTAATGTGAAATCCAAAATAATTAGGTTTCTTTTAATTGCCGGAGTCTAGGTTACACACTCTTTGTAAAGGTCAATCTTTCCCTTCCCTCCCCGCTTACAAACGAGGTGGAACCAGCACCAAGAGCCCATCTATGTCATATTTAGACATGATAAAACCCAACATGTACATTGTAGGAGCCGAAAATTAGGCAACATTCAGATAACATGAAATTAAATGTACATGTTTTATGAAAATTACTGTGTTGCCTCTTCGAAAACAACCAAGTTCACCTGATGACTTTAAAGTGCACCAGGAATCTGGACGATTGCCCTACTACATTTCATCTGCATGATACTGTTTTACAATCAATTCTGATTATGACTAGCAGGCGCGTTGTCAGGGAACGGTTAAAAAATGACATTATTTATAAGCAAATTTAAAAAGATAAAAGAATAAAAGTTCTACATGACAATTAATTTAAAAGACATAGTGTGCAAATTAGAATTTGTAGAATGGGTCAAGCCTCTCACTGGGGCTAGACTGAACAGTTAAAGCAAGGCTATTCCAAAGACGTATGCTCCTAGGAAAGAATGAACTTTGATGCTTTAGATTTCTTCTTCTTCTCCTTCTCCTTATTATTATTATTATTATTAATTATTATTAATTATTATTATTATTATTATTATTATTATTATTATTATTATTATTATTATTATCTGTATCAGTCCAAGATGGATGTATGCAGTATATTTTCTTATATAACTTTTTTCGGCCGAATACCATAATACAACTAAAACTTATCCTCTTTAAACCAGATAGCTTTTAAAAGTCACATATTTTTGTACGTTCATTGAAAAATATCCTATAAATACCGGAACCTCTGAATTCCGTAAACAGGACGATTTCTTATGGCAGGTATCATGTTCAGTTACCAGTAATGACACCTAATTTGCAGGTGTGAAAACATTTGTCAGTGTGTACTAATTTCATATTTAAGTTATAGCTCACAGGAACTCGGAAAATGTGAGTTTTTTTTCCATTCTAATACCCTGGTACAAACAAACAAACCGTTTGTTTTTCTGCCCCAAGATTAGCTGGGGAAAAACAGAATATTCCGGAGTAAGTGACTTTGGCGCATGTAGGCCCCTATGAATTTGTTGCTTTCTTTCTTTTTTATAAAATACCGAAAAGAATTGGGCAACATTGCTAAATGAAAATAGATAGTTACTTGTTTTGCTTAAAAGATTGATCGTATAGTTAACTTTATTTTAGCATTGATTTTATGTAAAAATAATAACAATAAATTCCATTGATTATATATTTCAATAGCCAATAAAAAAAGTTCTGATTCAGATAAGGTATTGTTTAATATCCAATTTTCTGATTTCTATTTACGAATTGGGAAAACTTAATAACTCATGACATTTACAATATAACTTTAGATAAAAGAATTGAGATAAAAGAGTTGAACAGTAATCGGATTCAAACAAAGACACCATAATGATCAATTAATCACTTTGTATGAAAATTTGAAAACCGAAAGAAGTCCGGGCAAGGTACGATTTTCCGAGGTTTTGCTGTACTTTTATTTAATGATGAAATGATTGCTATACATGTTTGTCCTGTACCCAACGTTACAGATCCAGGAACTTTTATGGGGAAAAATCTGACACTTTAAAAAACGGATGAAAAACTGTTACACGGATGAATAAACTATTTAAATTGTAATACATGTACGGATGAAAAACTCTGTCAAACATAGACGGTCTTTGGAGACTGTCGATTTTGTGGAGACCGTCGATTAGTATTCCCGTAATATAGATGAATAAACTCTGTATTACAGATGAATAAACTCTGTAATACAGATGAATAAACTCCGTAATACGGATGAATAAACTCTGTAATACAGATGAATAAACTCTGTAATACAGATGAATAACTCTGTAATACCGATGAAAAACTGAAAACTCTCAATTACGGATGAAAAAAACTCCGAATAACGGATGAAAAAAACTCTGAATTACAGGTGAAAGACTTTTAAGACTAATACAGTGGAACCTGCCTAATCCGAACTCCTCCGGACCAGAAGAAAAGTTCGGATTAGAAAGGTTTCCGGATTAGAAGGTTTGTTCATTTTATTTGCAGAATAGTTTAAGGAAAGAAAACGGAAATGCATTTGAAATTGCAATTTAAATATTTTATTTTTGCAATCTCTTATCGTTCTTTTTAATACATGTTAGTACAAAAATAAATAAATAAATGAGCAAAAATGTTTAGTCTGTAGTATATCCAGATTTCAGAAATAATATTGCATGTATGTAAGTACAAAAAATAATAACATTTGTAAAGTAGGTATGTTAGTGAATTATAAATTAATTGTAGGAGGATTTAAGTGTAGGTTATAGTTCATATCTAAAACGCATTCAGTAAAACATTCAATCATTAATTACTGCTGGCTTGATAGCTAATATGAGTAAGTCAATTAGGTGATATTTGCTATAATTATGCTGTTTGTTAGACACCTTATAAAATGTGACAAATGAACTTTCAGCATCTGTACAAAGTCATCTTACAATATAAATCGTTATTGGATCACTTGATCTACACAATTAGCAGTTAAGAAAATACAGCCATTTAATTTTTTGAATGAAGTCTACAAATGGAGTAAAGCCTACGGCTTCATTATAAATCCAATGAAACACAAGTTATCTTTATTGAAGAAAACATTCACTGCCTCCGTGGTCGAGGGGTTAGGGGTTAGAATCGATGACTTCTAATCCAGTTACCTCTCTGGCGTGGGTTCGATCCCCGGGAGATGCTTTGGTAGTTTAGCACGGAGGAAGGCAGTCTAGTACTGGTGTAACTCTCCAGGAACGATGGTTAGGAAACTACCCGCCTATATGACTGAAATACTGTTAGGAAAATGCGTAAAATGAAACAAACAAACAAATAAACGAAAAATCATCCAAACAATCTTTAATTAAGAAAGTAACTTTAGGGTACAAGGGCCTGTATAAGGGCCTTAGTAAAAGCTGAAAATGAAAATTTCGAAGTAAGTAACTTTAGCAAATTGGGGCCTAAGAAAAAGCTGAAAATGAAAATCTAAGTCAAGTAATATTAAGAGTATAAGGGCCTAAGTAAAAGCTGAATATAAAAATCTGAAATTAAGTAACTTTAGAGTATTGGCAGTGATTTACAGAAACGTAACTCCATGGTATTAGGTAGTAACAAATGGAAATATACACCCTTAAAAACAGTTGAGCTGTAACTGTATAGTTATGACCAGTAACATGACTACCCTTAGTAACTGGACTGTTAAAACTTCGCAGTATTTCACCTCTTGTCTCAGCAACTTCTTATATTCTTTGTCAATATTTTACATAATAATTTACAATATTTGATTTATTTCAGATATCTAATTCTGTTGTCAGCTCCTTTAAGTTTTTACTTCGAGTTAAAAATCAAGGCAAAATTAACAGTATGTCAGAGGTAACTCATCTTACATTTCATTGAAGAAGTGTCTAACGAGGAAAAGTTATATCATATACTACTAAAGTTTGGTAAGCACCAAGAGCATTTTTGTGTCTATATCTTAAGTTGTATGTCAATATTAGATTTATTTCTGTTCTTATATATGACATAGTGATTTATAAACATTATTTAGGAATTTGTTACCAATTGTAATGTGTTTTCATGTTGATTTGCTTTGATTGTAACGAAATTGTGTTTTAGACGAATATGGTTTATGCCCCCAGAAATCCTTGCAAATACCTGATTTTGCTTTAATAGCGAATGTGTGACCCAGTGTTGCCAATGACAGCTTGGCACCGTTGTTGCATACTCCCTATCAGGTTTCTTAGGACGGCTTATGAGATGGTATTCCACACATCGACAAGGGCAGCACCCAGCTCCTGGGTGCTTCTTCGCTGGATCTAACGGGCTGAAATACTGACCTGTAGCTCATTCCATACACACTTAATGGGATTAAGATCCGGGGATCGGGCCGGCCAGTCAAAACGAGTACTACCCTGTCTATCAAAGTACTCTTGGGTTACATTGGCTGTATGAGGGCGGCATTATCATCCATTAAAATTAACCCATTACCAATTGCACCAGCATACAACCTTATCTGGGTGTTGAGGATCTCGTCTCGATACCGCTGGGCAGTCAATGACAAAGAGGTCAGTACACCCATCCCAGTAGTCACCCTTGTTCTGCCACAACCATTTCTCTAACATATGTACCATGCTGTTGGAACCTCGCCCAGGCTCTGGTGATAACCGTATGGTCTGCACCAAACACCTCACGATGTCGAGCACCCTGCTCCAACATACCAACTGTCCGCCACAATTCTGCTTCTGATAAATGCCTTCTAACATTAGCATTCGCCATTATTCAATCTTAAATGTTCCATATTTCAATGGAAAATGAATACCCTACAGTGTCGGCACATGTATGCTGTGTCTAATAAGACTATCAAAATACCGGGTCACCTTGTTTGCACTACTTGCACGTGGAAATGGCCTGTCATTCAAGGTTATGTGAACACAGGGTACACTCTCGATACATTATACAATTTATAATGTAAATATCATAACATTAAATGATGATGATGTAGAATGCACGATGCTATGTGTTAGCAAACTTTGAGTAGTATAGTAACTTGAGAACAAAGACAACAACAAAGTACAATGATATCACCCAATGTATTGACTGTTTATATGAAGTACAATGTACATGCATACAGTAAAAACAAATGCCTAATTACCGGCAGATACCTAGGAAAGACAAATGCCGTATTTGTTTCCTTAATTTTATAAATTGATGTGTAACAATGCTAAATATCTGGAAAGTCATATACATTAACTTACAATTTTACATAAAAATATCTTTCATGTAGATGATGAAAGAAAAAAAATCTAAAATATTTCATCCTCTTGTAGAAAATGTGTCAAAGGTAATGACGTTTTAATATTCATATCATTTTTCTGCAAAAAATAATGATAAATAAATAATAAATACAAAAAAAATCCAAGAAAAGTTATCTTTTGTTTCAATTTTTATGATCTTAGATTTTACAATATTTATAAACAATGATTGCTTTGTACTGATTAATTCTGGTAAATTCCTATGTTATCTAATTAATCAATCATAAAATAAATATAAAGTTGCTAAAATACACATGTATAAGCCATTCATAGCCATTTTGGTCCTTGTAGCAATAAACAAATTGTTGGGTATTTTTTCTTCAAAATTTTATAATACAAAATAAAGTTTATTCAATATTTTACTTATGTTTCAGTTGAACTCTCATCATAAGGAAACTGATAATTTGTAAGGTTGCTCAAAACAATTTGAGCCGCGTCACGACAAAACCAACATAGTGGGTTTGCGACCAGCATGGATCCAGACCAGTCTGCGCATCCGCGCAGTCTGATCAGGATCCATGCTGTTCGCTTACAAACCCTATAACAAATAGAGAAACTGATAGCAAACAGCATGGATCCTGATTAGACTGCACGGATAAGCAGGCTGGTCTGGATCCATGCTGGTCGCAAACCCATTATGTTGGTTTTGTCGTGACGCAGCTCATTTTTACAACCAATACCCATTTTATATGACAAACAACATAATGTTGGTGATTAACTTACAATGTCACTTTATAGGGCCATGTCTATGTTTTGTTTGTTTGTTTTGTTTGCTTTTACGGCACAACAACACAGTTTAGGTCATATGGCGCCAAAACAGGAAAGATGACATTGGCTATCCTTGGGCATTACAAAAGTCATCTTTCCTGTTTGGTTATGCCTCTGACATCACTTGTATGTTCACAAGGACAGAAAGTAGATCACTAAACCTATGTTATATACATGTATAATATAACAGCTTTCCTAGAGTATTAACCAACAGTAGCAGTAACAACAACAACAACATTATTGAGAATTTTACTTTTGATGTTCATGCATCTCTAACAAACTGAAATCAATACATATTTTATGAGTATTCTTACAATAAAAGATCAGGGGGTCAAGCAACTTTGAAGACATTTCTCCAGTTAAAAACTGACTAGCAGTTTAACTAAAATACAAGTATTTTAGTTTATGATTAAATAAGAACAAAGTTATGTGCAAATTAAGCCAACACATTTATAAAAGCCATGCTCAGACTAAACCTTGGATGACCTTTGTCCACAGGTTTGACTGTATTGTCAAAATTAAAACTGGGACTTTCTCATGTCAAAAGAGTTACCATGGTAAAGTTTTAAAGAACATGATAATAAGGCCAGTTATACTTTGACTCTACAAGACCCCTTGACAGTATTCTGTATCAAATTTCTGGTGATCTATAGTGCTGCAATAAAATGACAATGTGAAATACCTTAACACATAATGTAAGAAGGTCATAACCTTCAGCTGACTGTGTAAATCCCCTGATAGTTTTATCTTAGCAAAATGATATCTCAAAACTGATCACCACCATCACACTCAATATCTCAGATCTACATATGATACATATATCACTAACCAACAACACTTCAAACATAACATTCTCAAAAGTTAACAACTTTCTTCACAGCTTCAAACAGTCTCCATTTGTCTGGCATATAAAACGGTTCATATACATGAGCAAAAGGTGTATCGTAACCACACACTCTCTGTATAGGTGCCTCGAGGTTGAGAAAACATTCCTCCTGAAAAATATTAACATTGTTTAAATATCAGTAATATAACATAACATTATTCAGTATTTTGTTTACAACTTCTAAAGAATATTGTTATTTGAAATTAACAAATCAAGACTCACTGGGAGGCAAATTCTAATTTATACTCCATTAAGGCCCACTGGGAGGCAAATTCTAATTTACATTCCATGTATATTTCAAGCACTTGAAAAGTGCCATCGGCCCTCTTGAGTTTCAAACCATAATAGTTTGGGGTAAGTCTCAGCATTTATTATTGTAACATTATACATATTGCAGTTCAACTTGATAGTGATGCAAGATTCAAGCTCCTAAATCCATTTCATAGTCAAGTAATCATGATAAAAAATGGCTCAAACCCAGAAATCCTCGGTTAAGACTATGAAACCTTATCTGTTAAAATTAGCACTCCAGATATGTTAATAAAATGAGCCGTGTCATGACAAAACCAACATAATGGGTTTGCGACCAGCATGGATCCAGACCAGCCTGCACATCCGCGCAGTCTGATCAGGATCCATGCTGTTCGCTTACAAACCCTATAACAAGTAGAGAAACTGATACGAACAGCATGGATCCTGATTAGACTGCGTGGATGAGCAGGCTGGTCTGGATCCATGCTGGTCGCAAACCCATTATGTTGGTTTTGTCATGACACGGCTCAAATTTCAAAACAATACTGTTTACAAAAGAATCGTATACATTAGGCAAATGTTCCTTAACAATAAGTGACTGTTTGTCAAAGTGCCGCTACAGTTTTTACGTTACCTAAATGTAAGAAAACTTACTAATATCAACTTGTGTAAAAGATTTCAAAATGTTTGAAATAAATTTCAGAAATGTTAATCAATAATGATACAGCATCTTTCTACATTCATTTTAACCCATATATGTTTCGCAATGATAAAATACTAACCTGTACAGCAGTGGCAATTTCAGCTGCATAACCCATTGTTTGTGGTGCCTCATGGGTAATTATCATCCTGCCAGTTTTTATCACAGACTGAAATGTAAATATAAATATATATAATCATATTCTATATAATTATTTATCAGAATATTTCACTGATTTATTCAGATTAATAACCCCAGTCAAATAATTGGTTTATACAGAATTTATTTTTAGTTAGATTGTGTAGGAAGTAAGGCTCTCGCATTTACATTTTTTTTGTAAATGTTTAAACGTTTTCGTGCTTAAAACTGAAACGATACCATTTAAATGGTGGTACTTCCATGTACTATACTATACCATGTATTCGAGTTGCCAAATGATGACTCTATTTAATACATGTACAAATAAATAATGTTCAGGGCTCATTGCACATTTTCTGCATTGTATCCCCATTTCGCCCTTTTGAAAGATCAAAGGAAAATCAACTTTACCAAAAATGTATTATATCAGGAGCAATTATTCAAGGTGATGCTGTGTGGAGTGTTGTAAACACCCACTTTCAGTTTTTTACTATGGAATAAATCATTTAGAATTAATAAACAAGAGGGCCATGATGGCCCTGAGGTCGCTCACCTGTATATAGCCCCCCCCCCCCCAACCCCCCCCCAAACGTTGCAGGGCTAATTTAACCCAAGGGCTTTTATTTGCACAAACTTGGTAGACACCCATAAGAAGATGTTTCATGCTAAACATCTAAGCTCTAGCTCATTGGGCTTTTTAAAAGAAGATTTTTTTTAAGTTTTTACTATACACATATAGTTAAAAACAATGACACCCCTGGGGCCGGGCCAGTTTTGACCCCAGGGCTTTAATTTGAACAAACTTTGTAGACACTTACTAGAAGATGTTTCATGCTTAATATCTAAACTCTAGCTATTTGGGTTTTTTCAAAGAAGATTTTAAGTTTTTGCTATACACATATAAAGAAAATCAATGACCCCCGGGGCGGGGCCAATTTTGACCCCAGGTCTTTTATTTGAACAAACTTTGTAGACACTCACTAAAAGATGTTTCATGCTTAATATTTTAACTCTAGCTATTTGGGTTTTTTCAAAGAAGATTTTTTAAGTTTTTGCTATACACATATAAGGAAAATCAATGACCCCCGGGGCGGTGCCAATTTTGACCCCAGGGCTTTTATTTGAACAAACTTGGTAGACACCTATTAGAACATGTTTGATGCTCAATATCTTAGCCAAAGCTCTTTGAGTTCTTTAAAAGAAGATTTTTTAAGCTTTTACTATTGCATATAGGGAAAATCAATGACCCCCTGGGGCAGGGCCAATTTTGACCCCAGGGCTTTTATTTGAACAAACTTGGTAGACACCTATTAGAACATGTTTGATGCTCAATATCTTAGCCAAAGCTCTTTGAGTTCTTTAAAAGAAGATTTTTTAAGTTTTTACTATATGCATATAGGGAAAATCAATGACCCCCGGGGCGGGGCCAATTTTGACCCCAGGGCTTTTATTTGAACAAACTTGGTAGACACCCATTAGAACATGTTTCATGCTAAATATCTTAGCTCTAGCTCTTTGGGTTCTTTAAAAGAAGATTTTTTAAGTTTTTACTATATGCATATAGGGAAAATCAATGACCCCCCGGGGCGGGGCCAATTTTGACCCCAGGGCTTTTATTTGAACAAATTTGGTAGACACTCACTAGAAGATGTTTCATGCCAAATATCTAAGCTCTAGCTCTTATGGTTTCTTAAAAGAAGATATTTTAAGATTTTTCTTTCGGTTGCCATGGCAACCAGAGTTCTGCATGGAATTAAATTCTTTGAACAATTTTTAAAGGTGACCACCAAAGGAACATTCCTGTGAAGTTTGGATGAAATTGGCTTAGTGGTTTATGAGGAGATGTCATTTAAAGTAAAAGTTTACGGACGGACGACGGACGGACGGACGCCGGACGAAAAGCGATCACAAAAGCTCACCCTGTCACTTTGTGACAGCTGAGCTAAAAATAATCAAAAGTTCAAAAAGAGCAATAATTCTGTCAAAATGAATAGACATCTGTAATTTTGTAACCATAATGTTATTTGGTGTTTGACTATCCTGCAGCTGAAGTGTACTTAAACATATAAACCAATTAAAAAATACATTTTTAAGTATAATATAAAATGTTGTTTTATTGAATTTCAAATTTCTGATAAATATATATTAACATTTATTCAATTTTTAACCCCTGAAAATTTACACAGTCATATTTGTTAGCAGTAAACAATACCCCACTGAGATTTAAAGTGCATGTGCCTGATTATCAACAATTACCTGCTCACATATTTAAAGGGACTCCACTGAGGTTTTTTGACATGATGGGACTGAAAATATTTTTTCCAGATAAATGTTCCTTTTGATGTAGGTTTAGACCACTAATCTTTGTGCAAAATTTCAGATCATTCGCACTCTTCATTTTTCCAGAATAATTATTTAAATTGTAAAGAAATGACCCAAAATGAAAAGCGTTTAAACGCTTTTCACTCAAATCGGGCAAAGAAAAACATAAAAATACGATTTTCATTTTATTTCAAAGTATATTTCTTAACTATCTTTGCATATATTTCTGTTTAAAGTGTCCCAGCTCATTTATGTAAGAAATTCAAATGTTATGTTTTTAGGCTTTTAAACCTCAGTGGAGTCCCTTTAATAAGAGAAAATAATGAAATGATCAGAATTGGTCAGATGGGACAAACACAAGGGGAGTTGTCTATGGTATCAACAAAAGGTGTCTAAGGAGTCATTTTGTCAATGCTGCATTGTATGTCAAAAGGAAAATAGAAAAATGGGGCATAATTAAGTAAAATGGCTTCAAAGAATCATCTGCTCTTGATATTAAACAAGTTTGAAGTGTGATGGTTTTTGAGAAAAAATAGGAATATATAAAAATTCACAAAAAGAAGATTATAAAGCAAACACTTAGAGCCACCGCCAAGTGGGGGGCCTCACTCAAATGTTTCTTTATAAAGTCAAACACATCAGAGGAAGAATATTAAAGAGTACTACTAGAAAACAATTGTCAATGTTGCTGTAAATTCTAAGTATTGGAAATGTTTAACCATTAGCTAGCTGAATTTACAGAACTTGAGATCAAAAGATTGTTACGACTGCAACACCATAATGAAAACAGTACAGCTTATACAAACTTAAATAAGCTTCTTAATTACTGATGAAGGCATAAGACAAAGATCAATAAGCCATGCACTTTATAATATTTAAACAGTATAAACAGTTCAGCAATGGAAAGAATAACCTGAAAGATGACTACAGCTGTGACTTAGAATAGGCGGTGAGGATGTTTTTTTGTTTTTTTTTGACATCCATTAAATTTGCATCAACTGAATAGCGAACAGTGCCGACCGTGATCAGACAGGGTGATCTTGGTCTGCACTGGTTGCATAGATAGAATCAGCTATGGATGAAATTTTCATTATTGATGATCTTTTAACTTACCTTTAAAATTGTGTTTAGGTCATACGGTAACAATGTTCTTAGATCTATAACTTCACATGAAACATTTAACTTCTCTTGTGCCATACTTGCCACTTCTCGAAGCACATGAACTTGTGTACCATATCCTACCATTGTAACATCACTACCTGTTTAAAATAAAAGACGAATATCTATCGAAAAATTCACAAAAAAAATCACAAAATTCCCTATATACTTTTAAAAAATTTAATATCATGCTTTGAAACTCGATCTGTCATCCAGTATATTGTTAATTATAAAGATTCCAACAACAAAATCCGTAAAGTAATATGTTTTTAATATGTTGTAAAGTATTGCAGTCTGATCAGTATCCATGCTGTTCGAATACAAACCGTATAACAAGTAGAGAAACTGATAGCGAACAGCATGGATCCTGATCAGACTGCGCGGATGCGCAGGCTGGTCTGGATCCATGCTGGTCGCAAACCCATTACATTGGTTTTGTCATGATGCGGCTCAATTATGTTTTGTCAAACTGTAAGGATAAGATGGCCTAGATTACAGGCCCCAGACAAGTCATCATTCATGTGCTTAAAGGTTATAATCTGCCAAAAGGTGACCTACAATTTTAGGGGTGTCATTTTCCCCTCTAAACGGGTAGTTTTTAGCTAAAAACTGGTTAAAAAATTCAAGAACTGAGGTTAGCATTTGACTACGGGGTGAAAAAGTTTAAAATTGATTCTTAATAACACCTTAGTTTATTTATGACAAGATATGACAATTGTTTGTATTTTAGTTGTACTCAACAATGTATTTTTTCCAATATGATCAAATACGGTACGACCCTAGCAGAAAATAGTTAATCCATATTCAGATATGTATTGTAATCATTTTGAATACTACAAAATACGATCAAAATGGAATATCTTGTCATAAAGAAACAAAGTAAATGTTGAAAATGTATGGATTTTATTAACACAGTTATTACATCATCAACAATCAACATAAAGACTGAGGCATTTAATGACAATCATTGTAAAGACCAAGGCATTTGATGACAATTAATGTAAAGACGGAGGCATTTGATGACAATTAATGTAAAGACGGAGGCATTTGGTGACAATTAATGTAAAGACGGAGGCATTTGGTGACAATTAATGTAAAGACGGAGGCATTTGGTGACAATCAACATAAAGACCGGGGCATTTAATGACAATCATTGTAAAGACCAAGGCATTTGATGACAATTAATGTAAAGACGGAGGCATTTGGTGACAATCAACATAAAGACCGGGGCATTTAATGACAATCATTGTAAAGACCAAGGCATTTGATGACAATTAATGTAATGACCAAGGCATTTGAAGACAATCAATTCAAAGATTGAGGCATTTGAAGACAATCAATGTAAAGACCGATGCATTTGAAGACAATCAGTGTAAAGATGGAGGCATTTGAAGACAATCAGTGTAAAGATGGAGGCATTTGAAGACAATCAGTGTAAAGACAGAGGCATTTGAAGACAATCAGTGTAAAGATCAAGGCATTTGATGACAATCAGAGTAAAGACCAAGGCATTTGATGACAATTAGTATAAAGACGGAGGCATTTGAAGACAATGAGTGTAAAGATGGAGGCATTTGAAGACAATCAGTGTAAAGACAGAGGCATTTGAAGACAATCAGTGTAAAGATCAAGGCATTTGACGACAATCAGAGTAAAGACCAAGACATTTGATGACAATTAGTATAAAGACGGAGGCATTTGAAGACAATCAGTGTTAAGATCAAGGCATTTGATGACAATCAGAGTTAAGACCAAGGCATTTGATAACAATAAATGTAAAGACCGAGGCATTTGATGACAATTAATGTAAAGACCAAGGCATATGATTACAAGTGGGGCGTCCGTGGCCGAGTGGTTAAGGTTGTTGACTTCAAACCACTTGCCCCTCACCGCTGTGGGTTCGAATGCCGACAGGGACTTTGAATTCTTTCATGTGAGGAAGCTATCTAGCTAGCTTACGGAACGTCCATGGTTCTACTCAGGTACCCGCTCGTGCCTGAAATAATGCACAGAAGGGCACCTGAGGTCTTCCTCCGGGATCGGGGGATTTGATGACAAACGATTTAAAAACCAAGGCATTTGATGACAATCAACGTAAAGACCAAGGCATTTGATGACAATTACTATAAATACCGAGGCTTTTGCTGACAATCATTGTTAAGACCAAGGCATTTGTTAACAATCAATGTAATGATCAAGGCATTTGAATACAATCACAGTAGTGACCAAGGCATTTGAAACCAAGAAATGTAAAGACCAAGGCATTTGAAGACAATCAATCACAGTATAGATGGAGGTATTTGATGACTTTTAATGTAGACAGAGGCATTTGATGACAATCAACATAAAGACCAAGGCATTTGATGACAATCAATGTAAAGACCAAGGCATTTGGTGACAATCAATGTAAAGACCATTAGGCATTTGATGACAATCAATGTAAAGACCAAGGCATTTGATGACAATCAATGTAAAGACCAAGGCATTTGGTGACAATCAACGTAAAGACCAAGGCATTTGGTGACAATCAACGTAAAGACCAAAGCATTTGATGACAATCAATGTAAAGACAGAGGCAATAAATGTAAAGACCAAAGCATATGATGATAATCAATGTTAAAGACCAAGGCATTTGGTGGCAATCATTCAGTGGAGGTTTGGTTAAACTTGCTTGTTACATTTTTTATTATCTGATACATAAATGTGGACAAGGACAATAAATTGATTTTCAATTAACAATTTTATAAACATTTAAAACTGATCTCCCACGATAAGGACCAAAACACCCATTTATCATTATATGTCATGTTTTTGTAAATCACATTTAATTTTCACTGCATGTTAACCAATTTTAAAGCATTTGATTGCATCACTCACTTATGTTTGCCTGAGCAAACTCAATCATTAAAATATGAATTACTATTATTATTGTAAATGATTTCATTCATTCAAATGCAGCCAACAATCTCTAATCTTTTATGATGATATTATCTAAATGGATATCAATTTTCTTATTTGTAACAGCACAAGTACCTCCCTATTTATTAATTGTCACAGTTTGCTTATAAAATGCTTCGCCTTTTAAAGCTCTCAACTTGCATTATAGACAAAAATGCCACCACTGAGAAAATGTGAAAAATACAAATGTTTGCTGTTCAAGGCTATGTAGATAAACATTTACATGTACATACACAATCCCTGGCAACCGCAAAAACAAATGCAGTCTGAGATTTCAGGTCTACCTGGGTTGCAAATTTCTCAAGTTCATTTATGTGAAACATTCAGATATTTGCAATATTGTAAGGGATAAGCAAGATTCAAACAAAATATTTATCTGCAAAATATTGCATGATTAATTCAACAAGCGTAGAAATTATCAGTGCAAAAGATTTCTGTACCCTTCTTTATTTATTACCCAACCATTCCAGGGAATTACATTTCATGCAGATATCAGCATCTTTTAAATATGTAAGAAGATTTGTTTTGTTTGTTTGTTTGTTTCATTTTAAGCCTTTTCCCAACAGTATTTCAGTCATTTAGCCGAAATTAGGCAAATAGTTTCTTTACCATCGTTCCTGGAAAATAACACCAGTACTAGACTACCTTCCTCCAAGCTTAACTACCAAAGCATCTCTCAGGATCGAACCCACGCCAGAGAAGTAACTGGATTAAAAGTCATCGACTCAAACCCTCGACCACAGAGGCGGTTATGTAAGAAGAACAAGAGGGCCATGATGGCCCTGAAGTCGCTCACCTGTATATAAACCCCAGGGCTTTTATTTGAACAAACTTGGTAGACACCCATTAGAAGATGTTTCATGCTAAACATCTAAGGTCCAGCTGGTCAAGTTTTTTCTTTACACATATAGTTAAAAACAATGACACACCTGGGGCAGGGCCAGTTTTGACCCAAGGGCTTTTATTTGAACAATCTTTGTAGACACTTACTAGAAAATGTTTCATGCTTAATATCTAAACTCTAGCTATTCGGGTTTTTTCAAAGAAGATTTTATAAGTTTTTGCTATACACATATAAGAAAAATCAATGTCCCCCGGGGCGGGGCCAATTTTGATCCCAGGGCTTTTATTTGAACAAACTTTGTAGACACTCACTAGAAGATGCTTCGTGTTTAATATCTAAACTCTAGCTATTTGAGTTTTTTCAAAGAAGATTTTTTTAAGTTTTTGTTATACACATATAAGGAAAATGAATGACCCCCGGGGCGGGCCAATTTTGACACCAGGGCTTTTATTACAACAAACTTGGTAGACACTCACTAGAAGATGTTTCATGCTTAGTATCTAAACTCTAGCTATTTGGTTTTTTTCAAAGAAGATTTTTAAAGTTTTTGTTATACACATATAAGGAAATACAATGACCCCCGGGGCGGGGCCAATTTTGACCCCAGGGCTCTTATTTGAACAAACTTGGTAGACATCCATTAGAACATGTTTCATGCTAAATATCTTAGCTCTAGCTCTTTGGGTTCTTTAAAAGAAGATTTTTTAAGTTTTTACTATATGCATATAGGGAAAATCAATGACCCCCTGGGGCGGGCCCAATTTTGACCCAAGGGCTTTTATTTGAACAAACTTGGTAGACACCCATTAGAGGATGTTTCATGCTAAATATCTTAGCTCTAGCTCTTTGGGTTTTTTAAAAGAAGATTTTTTAAGTTTTTACTATATGCATATAGGGAAAATCAATGACCCCCTGGGGCGGGGCCAATTTTGACCCCAGGGCTTTAATTTGAACAAACTTGGTAGACACCCATTAGAGGATGTTTCATGCTAAATATCTTAGCTCTAGCTCTTTGGGTTCTTTAAAAGAAGAATTTTTAAGTTTTTACTATATGCATATACATTGTGTAGGGAAAATCAATGACCCCCTGGGGCGGGGCCAATTTTGACCCCAGGGCTTTTATTTGAACAAACTTGGTAGACACCCATTAGAGGATGTTTCATGCTAAATATCTTAGCTCTAGCTCTTTGGGTTCTTTAAAAGAAGATTTTTTAAGTTTTTACTTTATGCATATAGGGAAAATCAATGACCCCCTGGGGCGGGGCCAATTTTGACCCCAGGGCTTTTATTTGAACAAAC